AGAAGGATACAGGATGAAGAGATCAAGGAGTGGGTGATGGGGGGTAAGAGGGCGAGGAAGGAGGGGGTTCGTGCCGCGGGAGGTAAAAAGGAGGATGGAGAACAACAAGAGGAGAAGAAAAAGGAAAACGAACCGAGAGATCAAGTACAAACCTCCCAGGAATCCGACACCTCCAACCCCGACCCTGAACTTCCCCCTTGCACACCCACTGAATACTTCTCCCACCGCCGCCACCGCCTGCACAACTTTTGGACCAAAGAAGCCCAACCCGCTGATATTAATTACGCCAAAGCCATCAAGCGCACCACCTTCCGCAAGTGGAGGGGTGTTAAAAAGAAAAGAAGAAGCTGCAGCAAGGTATACGGATCGAGATGGACAACCTCCTCCTCCTGGTCCTCCTCTTCCTCCTCGACCGAAGATGAGGAGGAGAACAAGGGGCGGAAGACTGCAGCTGAGTGGTTCGCTGGCTATCAACAACGTAAGCGGGAGCGATGGCTGCGAATGGGTATGGATGGTAGTGGTCGTAGTGTTAGTACGGATACCGGTGAGTCACCAGTACCAGAAGGGTCGACAAGGAGGAAGAAGAACCAGACTCGTCAAGAATGGGCTGAGGATGATGGCAATAAAGAATGGGAGGGGGAAAAGGGAGAGGACTCGGACCATGAGAGACGGATACTGGCTGATGATTTGGAGTTGGTGGTTGATGCCAGTGAGGATGAGGATATCTTGAGGTTTTTGGGTGATCGTTGTGATGACGACGACGACGACGATGATGATGATGATGATGTGGGGGGTGAGAGAGGGTGGATTGGAGGTGAAGGGGTAGATGGGGATGATGATAGTTACCCGCTGGTAGATCACGTTCGGGAGTCAATGATGAATGAGTATTAACTGGCCGGCCGTCTCGTTTGTCACGTAGGTAAAGGTTTGATGCCGTCAACAGGTTACTTACTTTTGTTTAACTTGCCTCACGTAAGAGTACAGATTTCCAATGTCCATACCGAAACCGTAACCGTTACCGGGCAGTATGTCCATATCCTAGATAACTTCCCTACATCAACAAATCGGGAGAGCTCACATAAACATGATACAGCACGAACAGGTTGAAAAACTAGTTACTATACTCCAAAGACACCAATTGAACGCTTTCCTTTGCTTGCCTTGGCTATGCTGTCCTTGTTCTCCTTGTTGATCTTCATCTGCTTCAAGTTGCTTGCTTGCTTTTCATTTCATGCCCCATTTGAAGCTATATCGTCGTCATCCAATCATCCTGCGTCCATCCCCTACGTGTCCAACTACTACTTACCCCAACAACGTTGACTTTCATTATAACTCGGTAAGAGAGAGAAGTATGTCTGACAGTATAACCCAGTGAGAGAGCGAGAAGGACGTATAAACTTTGGACCTGAACTCTCAAAACTCTGACTCCTACGACCTAGCAGCCTCGAGCTCCAGCTCCAACTGTCTGATTCTCTCGCTCTGATCCTGCGGGCCGGGTCCGACCCTCTTCTTGAGGGTCTCGACTTCGGTGGCAAGATGGCTAATGATCTGACTCTGGGCCTGGATCTTGTCGCTCTGTGCACCAATAATCCTGCTCTGCTGCTCAAGAAGCTGCGTGATCTGGGAAAGAGAGGCCTCGACGTTTCCAGAGGAAGGGGAAGCGGCAGGAGCAGGCGCAGGGGCGGCTGCGGTGGTCCTGACTGGCGAAGCAAGCTTCTGGACTGGGGTCTGGTACGTCGTCGGGGAAGGTGTCTTGCCGGCGGAAGCGGGAGGAAGGGATGTTCGCACAGAAACCGGGGCGGCGGCTCTAGCAGCGGGGCGCGAAACCTCCTCGAAGGGAGAGGACTCGCCCTCGCTTGGCTCGGCGTCCTCGTTATCCTGGAACTTGTTTGCAATAGCGGACATGGAGGCCTTCTGGTCCGCCACGGTCGACGTGGGCACACGAGTAGCGGGTGGGGGCGTGGATTCCATCTTGGACACGGGGGGCTGGATAGGAGACGAGACAGCAGTGGGAGGCTTGTAATCGGCCGGAACTTCCCTGGGTGCGGTACCCTCGTAGATGCTCTCCATGTCGATCTTGGCCGGGATGCCGTCCTTGCCATCAAACCACTCCTGGGCGGACACGGCGGGCTTGAGGCCGGTCGCAGGGGGGTAGATGTCGGACTGGAAGGTCTCGGCACGACGGGGCACGGTGAAGGAGATGGGCTCGATGTACTGATCGTTGACGGTCTTGTAGGCCCTCATGATTTCGTTCTCGTGGACGTTGACACCACGGCGAGGCACAAAAGCAATACCTCTCTGGGGGTCACCAGACTTGTACTCGGCCAGGAACTCCAACTTGTCGTTCTCGTACTCGAAATAACGAATGTTGCCATCACTGCGGACGTTAGCATGCTACCTATCGTTCCTATCTCGGGTTGTGACAAACTTACCCCTTGCCAGCAAGGTACAGGCAGTTAGAGCCGTCATCTGCGAAAAAAGACCACAGTTAGCTTCGGCGCATACAAAAGCCATGGTCCAGCAAGCGTGACTTACCCCAGAAAGGCATGCAGACACCAGAGATGGAGTCGAGCGAGGTGAAACCACCGATGGGGTCCTTCCTGCCAGGCTCCCACAGGGCAACCTGACGGTCACTCATCCTGGAGAAACCAGTGGTAGCGATACGGTTGTGTTCACCAAGCCATACAGCGCGACTGTTCTTGGCGCCCTCGTGGCCCTGGTATTCGTGGACTGCGGACTGCTGGCGCACATCCCACACGCGCAGCTTCTTGTCGCGAGAGGTGGTGACAAGCATGGTGCCGTTGGCGCTCCACGACAAAGACTGCACAATGTCGGGGTGCTTGATGGTGATGGGGGCCTGGCCGGTCTCGACATCCCAGAACTTGACCGTCAAGTCGCCGGAGGACGAGGCGAGAATGTTTTCGGCGGCGGGGTTGAAGAGGACATGGCCGACCTTTCTGTGTTTGTGTGAGCGCAAGCCTTACTGAATCTTATCTTCAGGGTGTAGATCGTACCTCGTGTGGCCAGAGAGCTTGCTGAGGGGCGAGACATCGGCTGGCTCCTCGGCGTCTGTATAGAGGGTGAAGTTCTCGGGCACCTGCCAGACAAACACCTTTCCATCGTCGGAGGCAGAGGCGATCAAGCGGTCGTTGAAGGGGTTCCTAAGAGGAGCCTAGGTCAGATTGTCTTGTCGGGTCGTTGTAGCGCATGCGCGAGAGCGTACCAGTCAGTGTCGAGGACGGCGGCGGTGTGGCCACGGAACAGCGGTATTTGGTCGGGAAGCTTGCCGCGCTCGTTGAGGGGGATGACGGCGAAGGCGCCACCACCGCTCGACTCCCAGTTGACGGCCAAGTACTCGGGGTTGGCCTAGGTGTAGGCGAGACCAAGACAAGGTCAGTATATAACGACCATGGAACTTAAGCTACCGATAGGGCGCAAGTGGTGGAGAAGAGCGTAGTAGCATAAGGAGTGTATAAACAGGTAGGTACCTACCTTTATGAGGTTGGTGTCCCAGGCATTGTGGCTGATGCGGAGGTTGTCGTAGCAGAACTCCTTGCGCGTGGGCTTGCCGAAGACGTGTCCTAGCAGTCGCGGCTATCGTGTCAGTCCAGGTCTCTCTCTCCAAGCTCGTCGCGACTCCCATCGTGGATACGGCGCGCTACCTCGGGAGCTACAGTATCCGTCCAGCTGGTGTGCTAAGGAGCCTTCGGGGGAGGAACACGGGGGATCGACATACGATACTTCGACGCTCTGACGAAACGGCCGGACATCGGGAGGGATTAGGGCAGTAAGCTGCTAGCTGGTAGCTGGTAGGAATAAGGGAATAATAGTGTAGTAAGGAAATCTTGGACTCGATTATGGATTACTGAGTGTTAGGTAGACGGGAGCTGAGATAGGGGGGGGGGGACTTTCAGTGTTTTGGTGGTTTGGGAATCGATACCGGCCGATGGGGTAGTGGTACCTGCCAGTAGTAATAAACCAGGAGGTTAGTACCAGACAGATGGAGGCGGGTACTTGACCGATACTTGGCCCTGCCTGTGGTGCAGCGACTGTTGAGGTGGTTGACTGCCCGCTAAACTGACTACACTAGGCCATCCTGGGCTGGCGCGGCTGAGTCCCGGGCAGGTCCCGTCGGCGTGGACCCGTCCCTGATCGGCTTGGCTTCGGCGCATGTTCCAGGGCGGGCAGCAAGTGAGCTCTCTAGCTGGTCCACTTCCCCACTGCCTGCCCCTCTCCCCGTGTTCCCAACGTTCGCGTTCGATTCGCACGCCATCGCCAATGCCGTGGGACCTTTGTGAAGTCCTTCAGCCATCCGGTCGCATCTGATAATGGATGAGATCCAACTGTTGTGAAGTAAGAAAGGATTTCTACTTTATGCGTCGTGCGAATGAGGGCAGCTAGTAGGAGCTATTGCGTGTCTTTGCATGGCTCTCTGAAAGAGTCGAGGGTGAGGCATCATGTATTGGCTGGATACAAACAAACTCGAAAAGGGGGTTCAGGGGGGACACGCATTGAGTGTTGACCCATCATATTGACACGAGACAATGTTACAAAAAGAAAGCCTGAACAAGTGATGGTGCTTGCGCAAAGATACTCATGCGACAAAATACCCGAACTTTCGGGATTCAGAGAGAATTGTTTAGTTAGTCAATATCATTAGATCAAAGTTCACAGAATCGTTTAGTATGGATGTTATTCAATGTCTTGATGTTGACAACCAAAATTGAAATCGACTTTGCTGGAAACTTGTCACCATCCCATCCATGGAGCGCTATTTCTCGGCATCTGGAAGACGGGATCAAAGACAGAAAACCAAAAACGAAAAATAACAGACTGAGTGGTGGAAACATATTTCCTTATGATGGCGCCGTTGTGAAGAAAAAGTCAAAAACTTAGTCGTACTGGGGATCGAACCCAGAACCTTCTCGGATCAGATTCAACTAATGTGAACGAGAAATCATAACCATTAGACCATACGACTTTGTTGAGTTTTAGCACCACATTGAGGTGTTATGAAGACAAGAGCTTCCAGCCACCCCACCAAGCAAGGGGCGGGACAAGATCCCGTAATGGTGTAGTCTAGTGTGAGCAAAGCTAGAACAATGGGAACACAGGATATTCACACCTCCTCAATGGAGTGTTACAAAAAGAAACCTGTCTGGAAAGCTTCACTAGTCATTCTATCGAGGTCAAGTTGATTCGTTATATGTCAATGACCATCTTTTTCTTCGAAAGGGGCAAGTAAACAATTGTTCTTTGTTCCGCAGCTCATGCAGATGCCAAGGTGGCCCAAGCTTTCGGATCTTCGGTGACGACACTGACTCGATCTCACCGAGTGCCACTATGATTCTGCATCTGGACTGAGACAAACTTCACAACAACCAACATGGAAATTTGGCATTGTAGGTAGCGGCGTATGCCGCCTCGTGATCCCCAACAACAAATACTGCCACCCAACAGACCCGAATCATACAGCAGCACATCAAAATGTCCACCCTTGCGACAACAGCAGCCGGCACCCTCCGAATGCGGATTCCCTACCGAGAGCTGCCTCCCCCGACCACCATCATACCTGCCACCGCCACGACCCTGCCCGGCGCCGTGGCTGCTCTCAAGTCATTCCTCACCACCCCTCCGCCGTCCGGTTTACCCAATCGAACTGTCATCCTCACCGGTGCCGGCCTTTCCGTGGCCAGCGGCTTAGCCGACTACCGTGGCGTCAACGGCACCTACCGGGTCAACAAGGACTACAAGCCGATTTTCCACCACGAGTTCCTCGCCAGCCACGAGACGCGACAGCGATACTGGGCACGAAGCTACATCGGATGGAGGGGTCTGGGACGGGCCGGCCCGAACCCGGGCCACTACGCGATCCGGGACCTTGGGAATCTACTCACCGAGCGCTACAGCGGTGACCGAAACAACAAAAGCATTACGGGTGTAATCACACAGAATGTCGATTCCTTCCACAAAATGAGCCATCCCGATATACAAACCGTCGAATTGCACGGAACTCTAGCCTCGGTTGTTTGTACATCGTGCCGGAACCAATTTCCTCGAGACGAGTATCAGACCACACTGGCCAGGCTCAACCCGATTTGGGCTGATTTCCTTCGCGAGGCGCTGGCATCGGGAGCCCTGGAGACGGAGGACATTGAAGAACGGAACAAAAAGGGTATCAAGATGAACCCAGATGGTGATGTGGACCTAGCCGAGGCACCTTACACCACGTTTCGTTACCCAGCATGTCCGTCATGTTTGAAGGAGCCGCCACGTCTTGCGGATGGCACCAAGACATGGGTAGAAATCGACAAAGATGGTGCATGGATACCGTCCAGTACTGCGGGAGTTTTGAAGCCGGCAGTAATCATGTTTGGAGAGAGTATAAGCGCCGAGGTCAAGGGCGAGGCGGAAAAGGCCATTGACAATGCCGGACGAATGCTCATCCTGGGCACCTCTCTCGCGACCTACTCGGCCTGGCGGCTGGCACAGCGAGCGAAGCTCCGAGGAATGCCTATAGCCATTGTGAGCATCGGTGGTGTGAGGCGCGAAGAGATGTTCTTTGAAGATCTAGACCCTAAGATGGCCGGTCCTCATGGGGTTAGAGTGGAGATGGCTACTGAACAGCTGTTGCCGGCGCTCGTGGAGGAGCTCAAGAGTTATAACAATGGAGCCATGGTGGCCGAGGTACCCGTGGGCACGTTGTTTACTGAACGGGTCCGCTAACGGACGCCCATCTATAAATAATAGAATAAAAGAGGTCTTGTCGACTTAGAAGAAGGCACCCTTGAGGGCTGCAGGCGAGATCTTGGGCGTTGTCTCGGTCTGGGTCTCGGTCTGGGTCTGGGGTTGTTCCTTTGCGGGCTCTGCCTTGGCTTGCTGGGCAAGTTTCGCCGCCTTTTGTTGCTTTGCCTTGTGCATGATCTCTTCGCGTTCGATCTCCTTGAGGACTGTTGTTGAATCTTGATATCAGCCGGTGCTCTCCGTATCGTGTCCACCTGCGTTTAACGAACCTTCATCCCAAGCAGCCTCCTTCTCCGGATCGCCAGTGCCCAACACCTTCTCAACATCCACCTCTTCACCCTTCTGTATCCTCTCGACCACCTCACGCAAGGTATTGATCCTGACATCGGCCTGGCGCGAAAAGGCCGCATAGTCTTTTTTGAGCGAGATCATCTGGATAGCCATGGAACCGATCATTAGAAAAATGATGATAAAGAAGGTGGCCGGGTTCCACTCTGTCGATTTCGGCATCTTTGTGTGGTTGATGGAGTCATCGCCGAATCGCAAGAACTTGGGAACCAACGACTTCCAAAAGGACACTTTGGCGACTCTAGGGACGATTACATCCGGGGCGCCGCTCGCGAGGCGGATCGAGGTCGAAAACGAAGCTCGAAGAACTGTCGAGGGGACTTGACGATGGAGCAAGGCAGCATGCGCATTGCGGCCAAGGCGCTGAGGAAGAGAAGTTCGGCGCATGGTAGCAATTCGGAAATGTCGCGTTGTCTTGTGTTGGGATTCGGTGGCTGTTGAAGCCTGAGTAGGATTGCGACGGATCAGGGCAGTTGTCGAAATCAAGTGTTGGCTGAAGAGAAACTGGGAGAGACCCTGAAAAGAGAAAGTGAGAAGACGACTCGAAGCTTCGTTCTTCTTCGGGCAAAAAGTTCACTCTAAGTTCAGTTCAGTTGGAGTGACACAGCGCCAAAATTCCCACAAGTGACATCCCACCTCACACGGCAGGCAAAGGTGGGGTCTTTCTGCCATTCCATCTGGCTGGCCGATGCGCCCCACGCAGCGAGGTACGTACCGGGTGCTTTCGTACCTGCGTTGCAGTTGCCCGGGCAACTTGAACTCGTTGAATCTTTGTTGCGACCAAGTCAACATCCCGCCAACAAGGGTTCGTTCTCCCCGTCTTCAGCAGCCGGATTCGTGACCGGGGGGAGCTCCATTGCTGGACACCAATTCGCGATCCACCTTGGCGTTTGCTTCCACATCTTATTTACAATCCAGCCATCCTTCATGCACTACCCTCTTTTGCCGTCTTTTGGATAGTGTCCCTAGTCCTCTACCTACGTTATAGGCGATGACATGATTAGGAATCAGCCCATTAGACCTTCTCTCTCTACATTACGACAGCTTCATGGATACCATACACTCCCAAGCTGACGCCGTGCGCAGCGCCGTCTCTTCGGTGACAACATGTACGCCCGCCATCACAGCTCTTCTCAAGAGCCTGCTTTTACCCAAAGACGATGCCACGGCCGCGGCAGAAATAACAACAACAACAAAGACAGCGTCATCAACGAGGCCGCGGTCGAGAGCAAACAACACAGCCACCAAGGCTGCCACAGCATCAAAGAAAGATAGCGGACTCTCGCCCAAGGAAAAGGCGACATTGGCAACACATGTTGTCAACGGAACCCTTCGCGCCCTGAGCGACTATGCAAAGAACCCACCAACAACCGCGAGGCCCCCAACGCCTACCAAGCGGCCAGCGCCCCAAGAGGAGGAATTGTTGAGGTCAGCCACGACGAGAAACCCGCTCCAACGATGTAGCTCTACCAACTCGACACCGTTATCTCCCCTACAGCCTCGTGCCCTGAACAGAGTCACCACTTCTCCGGCCCTCTCGAAGCGCTCTCTCTCGCCAGCCAAGGCTCCGAAACATGACACAAACCTCCTTGCCACGGTTGAATGCGCTCGTGTTGCCTTGGGCACTCTGCGCCAGTTACACACGTCCAGCAAGCTCACGCTCCCCGAGTTACAGTTAGAGACCGGCATGTCTTCTCTAATCGCCAGGTTGATTACGCTAGGACTACACGATCAAGCCCTCAAGGAATTGCGCATCTTGAAGAAGAGATTGGAGACACCGTCCAGTTCGACAACAACAACAAAGAAGCCAACCAAGACGACTGCTACCGAACCACCCAAGACGGCGGCGCAAGTGTACACGGAGATCCTCGATTTCGGCCAAGTGAAATCCTTGGGACCGGCCCTTGCTCTCGTTATCACAACACAAATACAGGCATTGCGCCTCCTATCCGCGAACAAAAAGCCAAATGCAATCGAGGCGGTCATTCCTCTCTTACGCCAGGACCATAGCTCATCACCAACTGCCCTCCTCCTACGGTCAGCAACTGAAAAGGGCGCCGATGTTGCCAAGATTGCCCGCCATATGGAAACTCTGGCTCAATGCATGATTTCCTTGACCCCCAGCGCATCCAGCAAGGACGACACGCTCAGCATAGAACCGCGGCTTAGTATCTCCCCGGTATCCGCCATCGAGCTGCAATGCTTTGCTTTGGAGACGAGGCTACAATGGTGGAAGTTGGCCAAACACCAGGGTGATGCGGAAAAGGACATCATCATGCCTCTCTCTCGGTACATGGGTGCCTTCGTTCGTCGGAGCCAGGAGAGCGGGCGCTCTACTTATGCTACTTGCCTCTCAGTATATACCAGAGTTCGGTCTCAGCTCGATACGTACGGCGCACAACTGTCCGAAGCATCAAGGACACCTCTTTCTCAGATTTACCAGGTTTTAGCGGTTCTGGCACGAGAGGCAGGAAAGGTGACAGATGCAGTTTCTTGGGCGACGAAGCTCAAAGATGGGGTCGATGCAAAGGTGGACTCGGTCGCCAAGATATGCTCCATCTCAGCGCAACTATTGTCCCTCCAACTCAAGGACCCGGTAAAGTACTGTCATGATAACCAGCTTCTCGACGAGGTAGTTGCTGGTCTTTCAGGCCCCCTGCGGGGTGATTCCAATGACCTCGACGAGTTACTCAACAATGTCTGCTCGGTCAGGAGGGCAGCCATGAAGCTTCTTCTTGCTATGTTAAAAAAAGAAAATGATGGGTTTGCTGATTTTACTTCCAATTGCCGAGAATCCCTAGAATCATTCGTCCTTCAATGTCCCCGGTTTTGTCTACGATGGCTTGGTAAACCGCCGGAGCCCAAGAGCAGCACGAAGGACTACCTCAGATACGAACAACGCCGTCAACTACTCCTACAGTCTATTCAGCATACCCTTGACTCATCATTCATCGTCGTCAAGACACGCCTCGAAGAGAAGAGGTTGGAGTGGGACTTTATGGATTCGATTCTTAATGATTGTCTTTTGCTCTTGGAATACATAGGGGATATGGGCGCTGCCGGCTCGCAGAGCATGTACCATGTCAAGATTTCGCACTTCTACTATCTACAGTATAATGTATTACGACAACAATCCACTGACCCCAAGGATGTGGCGCCCTTACGAGCTCTCCGTCGTTCGATCGATTGCGTGAAGCACAGGTCGACAGCAGAGAAAGGCAAGGCGCAGCTCATCTTGAAGTTGGAACGGATGGCTGAGATGGCTCGGACACTGGGCAGGAATGAGCAGGCTCTCGCCGCGCTACAGACCATCCGGACGAGCATGTTGGATGACGGGATTCTCGAAAGTGTCGTCGGTTCACTGGCGACAGACTCGCCGCTTATCGTGTGGCAAAGGGACGAGAAGGCCGAGACTTTATCTCGTGCTCTGGTGGCTATTGCAAAGATGGAGCATGTCTTCATGGATTGGACAGTGGATCTACCAGAAGCTGAACAAGCTGCCGGACTCGAACATCGGTTACACTACATTCTCTTGGGTGGCAATCCAACTATGAGTGGAAGAAAGAGGGAGGAAGAGATTACTCTCGAGCACCCTGTCGTGGATGCCTTGCTCCGCATTTATGTCCCGACACGGTATCCCATACGAAGACTCCGAGTGCTGTTGGCGCTCTTGAGCTCTGCCATTGGCAACCAGCGAAAGGTACCCGAGTTGCTTGCTATCACTAGGGATGCTACGCAGGTGGAACCGGATAACCTCGGCGAAGATGCTGGACTTGCCCGCTTTGTGCCGCATATGGGAGCCTTCTATCACTCAATCACAGCTTTGTCGGATGGTTACTCTGATCTTGGAGCGGTTGAACGATGCCTTGAGACGTGGAAATCGATTGTCAAGACTTGTCAAACCAAAACGGATGTGGAGCGATCAATCGACGATATTCCTGGCCTTCTGGATCACCTGCAGGCCATGGCTGACTTTCTCCGTTTGAGCGGTCACGATAAAATGGTAGCTATGGTCCTGGAACTGACGGCGGATATTGCCAGACTAGCGGACGGCCCCAGGCTGGAAGACATTGTTCAGCATGCCTCAACGCTGGCTCTGCAATACACCAATCTGGGGCAATCCATAAAAGCTGAGCAGACCTTCGCCGAGGCACTGCAATATCTCAAGAAACAGGCTAATTTGCCCGGTGACGCGGTTGCCACCTTCCACCTCTCCTGGACAGAACACTTTATCGCCACCGGTGATCTCACTCAAGCAGAATACCATCTTTCTCAGGCCCGGGCTGCAGTCGAGGCTGAAGCTATGTCAGGCAAGGTCTCCCGTGCTCGGCGGAAATATCTGGTGGCCTATGCTTCTTATCTTCATTCTCTCGTTACCCAGGAACGAGGTGAATCCCACCATGCTCTGGTCTACGCCCGAGAAAGCGTCCGCTGCATCTTTCAGGACTGGGTCAAGGTAGAACAACAGTTAGCAGCAGCAAAATCACCCGCCCGTTCCTCAACCGACGACTCCGCCATGTTCAATACCGACGACGCTACCTGTGACCTTTCGGCCACCGGAAAAGAGACGCCTTACCTGGGGCCAGAGTCGTGGAAGCTCGCCCTCACTCTGTACCGAAACACTCTACGCTTGTCGTCCATTTACGCGCATCTGGGCATGTTCCAAGAGACGATGTACTACGCGGAGCAGGCACAGAAGATTGCCAATAGCGCCAACTCGGGGATTCTCAAAGCTGGCTGCGCGACCTGGATGGGCTCGGTGTACGTCAAGGCGGCGAACATTCCCAAGGCGATGGAAATGCTGCAGGAGGCGGCTAATTTACTCCCGGAGGAAAGCAATTCGTATTCTTCGGCCGTGCTGGCTTGCCAGATTGGGGCTATGTGCTTGGATCTAAAGAGCTTCGAGGGTGCCGAGGCGATGATTGGGAGGGCGGAGGCGATTCTAGAAGGGTTGATGGAGGTTAGTGCTGCGTCGGTGTCGGTTGCTGGGGAGAAGACGGAGAGTGAGGAGAAGGGAACAGCTATGAGGGGACTCAAGGGGCCTGCGGCTGTACGGCAACTGTCGAAACCGGTCAAGAGTGTCCATTCGAGACCTGCGCTTTCGGCGAGACCAAAGGCGGCGACACATGTCTCTGCTTCTCGGTCTGTTGAGGATGCCCAACTTTCGAAACTCAGAGCGGCGATTATGGTGCAAAAGGCTACGGCAAAACTGGCGAAGAGGGATTGGAATTCGGCTTTGGCGATGCTTGAAGGTGTCAAAACGCGGTCCAAGAAGTCGTTGTCTGCAATCATCTCGGACGAGCAGATGATCATGGCGTCCTGTCTGCTGGGCATGAGCATGGAGCAGATGGCCCACGATCCGGTGTTTTCGGTCATTCATGATTCCACCATTTCATATCCTGCGGTTTCTGATTCCCAAGCAAAGGATAGAGGTTCTGCAGGCCACCCAGCTCTTCTTCAAGAGAGAAAGCGGGTTGCCACTCAGGATACCACAGATCAGGAAAAGGCGGAGTACGTGGATAATCTTCGACAAGCCCAGCAATCCCTTCTCGAGGCCCATGCCGTGGCCACAGTCTGTGGCGACTCAAGTCTCATTCACAAGATCTCGGTCATGCTGCAGAATGTCGGTCTTCTTCTTTCCGCTACGGCATCATCCGGGAAGGCCAAAGCATCCGCCTCTTCTGGACACACTGCCTATTCGGTCGAGCTGGGCCGTAACCTCACATGGCGCAGGGAACGCAAAGCTCTCATGCTGGAGAAGAACGGACCCAAAACTGATGCATACAGCTGGCCTAATTTCACGGACTTGCCTGTTGAGCCGCTTGGCCGGATGAGTCTGGGCTTCTCACTGGACCTACAAAAGTTTCAGAGAGACTACATTGACATTATCCCGAAGCCTTGGAGTGTGGTGTCCATCTCACTGAGCGACAATAAGCACGATCTGTGCATCACCAAGCTACAGGCGGGCTGCACGCCCTTCGTTCTTCGACTTCCTCTTGATCGTGCCAGTTCGCGCGATGCAGACAACGAGGTGTTCAACTACCAACAAGGAAGGGCCGAGTTGCTGGAAATTATTCGCCTGGCCAACGAAACTTGTCACGATGCCAGAGACTTCACTGTCAAGGGCGCCAAGACTGCTTGGTGGGCAGACCGTGAGGCGCTGGATAATCGTATGAAGGATCTGTTGACGAACATTGAGCAGATCTGGCTCGGCGGCTTCAGGGGTATCTTCAGCCAGCACCAGACCCAAGGCGGCAAGAGGAAGGAGTTGATGAACAAGTTTGGCGCAACGTTTGAAAACATGTTGGACAAGTATCTCCCCAGCCGGAGACAGGTACACCATCGCGGGAAGAAAGCTGGCGGCGGTCAGGAGCCGCAATCAGAGAAAGTCACCGTTGATCCTCGCATCCTGGAACTCTTCATCGGTCTCGGCGATACCGGCGACCAAACTGTCGACCTTGACGAGGAACTAACCGACCTGCTCTACTTTGTCGTCGATATACTCCAGTTCCACGGCGAGCGCAACGCCTACGACGAGATCGACTTTGACTCCATGGTCGTCGAAATGCTGGACGCCCTGCACGCCTATCACGCGGCTGTCAACGAACTCGACGGAGGCGGCGACGAGCACGCTCACACCATCCTCATGCTTGACAAGGCTCTGCACGTTTTTCCCTGGGAGTCTCTCCCGTGTTTACAAAACCTGGCCGTATCCCGCATGCCAAGTCTTGGTTGTCTCCGCCGCGCCATTCTAGACATGAAGACCCCTCGACCTGCTGCTCAACCCGCAAAGGAAGAAGACGGCGACTCAATAATGTTGGACGCTGACGCCATTCCCCTTGTGTCCACCGGGACATTGTCATCATCACCACAATCTCTTTCTCACCCGCAAGGCCACCACGCCTCTTCTGTCAACGGCACCTACATCCTCAACCCCTCCTCCGACCTCCTCACCACCCAAAAGACCTTCAGCCCCCTCCTAACCTCCCACCTCGGCCCCTCCCCTCGCACCTGGACATCCATCACCGCTCGCCCGCCCACCGAGTCTGAATTCGCCTCAGCCCTCACCAACTCGGACATCTTGTTGTATTTCGGCCACGGCTCCGGCGCCCAATACATCCGCGGCCGCACCATCCGTCGCTTATCCCCTCGATGTAATGCCACGGTCTTATTGATGGGATGCAGCTCCGCCAAGCTGAACGAGGCAGGCGAAGGTTTTGAGGTCTACGGCCCGGCGTGGAATTACATGATGGCGGGTGCGCCAGCGGTGGTGGGGACGCTGTGGGATGTTACGGATCGGGATATCGATCGGTTTACGGGGAGGTTGTTGGAGGAGTGGGGGTTGTTTGGACCGGGCGTGTTTAGTAAAACGGAGGAGAAGAGAGAGGAAGAGAAGCGGAGGAGGAAGGGAAAGGGGTTGGATAAGGCGGATGAGGGTGATTTGGAAAAGGAAGAGGGAGAGAAAGAGGAGGAGGGAAAGAAGGGGAAGAAGAGTTTGGTGGAAGCGGTGGCGAGCGCGAGGGGAGCGTGTCGGTTTCGCTATGTCACTGCGGCTGCTATTGCTGTTTATGGTATTCCTGTTTATCTTCAGGACCGAGAGAAATGATGAATGGGAGTACGATTTTGGGGTGGGTGGGTTGGGAAAAAGCGATATTGGTATGGCGAACGAAACATATATTAGATGCCAGTGTTTGTGTGTTATGGGGGATGAAAGGCTGTTTTTTTGTCTCTTGTTTCCTAGAAAGGGGTGGTTGTGGCTTCTTTTCGTTTTCGTTTTGCTTTCTCTTGCTTTGTTTGGTCTTTAATTTGCTCATGGATTATGACGACGTGCATTGGGGTTTAGCTAGCTTTGTATAGCCTGCGCGGCGCGGTGTCTTGAGTGTGTTGTTCGGTTATAGAGACATGATTGTGATGAGAAATGGTATGGAAATGAAGATTATGACTTTACTTCTTTCTTTCTGTGCTGCTGTGACTGTCGTTCTCAGAATGCAAGTTAGACTAACTTGCACATTTTGAATATCACAAGGAACCGTGATGTGAACAGAATGATAAATGGATTGAAAATATGTACATGTTAGTTAGATATGTTCAACGATACGTCAAGTATTTACAGAAGAAGCGAAGAGTCTCCTCTAGAGAAAGACACCTATATCACCAAGAATAGAAGAGATCCATCCTGCCAACCAACCATCCTCTCCTCGCGCCATTCTCTAATCGCCCTCCCGCTACACACCACCCTTCATCATCTACACGCACTGCCAATACCAATCATTCTGCTTCTCGCACTTATATGGCGCCTGGCACGTCTGGCTGCCAGTATACGTCGGCCCGCCGCACCAGCCCCACCTGGGAACGGCCTCGTTGGCGGGTTGCGCCAGGATCTTGGCCGCGGCATGCTCAGCGGCGACGACGATGTAGGCGGTAGGGTTGGTGGTCGGCACACCGGGGAAAATCGAGGCATCCACCACGTACAGGTTGTCGGTGCCATAGACGCGCGTGTTGGTGTCGACGACTGCGGTGCCGCCGCTGCGGCCGTCGTCGGTGCCCATCTTGTTGGTGCCCATCCAGTGGTTGGAGCGGCGGGATTGGTAGGTTACGGGTTGCTGGGGGATACGGAGTTAGTGGGGTGGCGGGAGGTTAAAAGGGGGAAAGGGGGCGAGAAAGCTTACCTTGTCAACAAAATCAGCAGCCGTCTGGTTGGCGCTAGGGTAAGCCCAGGTGAGACCCTTGACGTTGGCGAGAGCCTTCTGGAGGTTGACGATACCCTGAACAACAGCGGCCTTGTCGTTGGGGTCCTTGAGGTACGGGAGGTCAGACACGACGGTGTTGAGGGTAGGGCTAAGGGTCATGCGGCCGCGCGAGGTGGCGCCACGGCCAAGGTACTGGCTCATGGTCATGGCGTAGCCGTCGGGAGTTTCGAAGCTACCCTCGACGCGGGCGGTCCAATGCAGTTGACGGACGATGCCGTCGGCGCCCGTGATCTCCTCCCAGAACAAGGGGCCAATGTTGGGCGCAGCCTGGGCGAAGATGCCGGAGCGCCCATTGAGGTACAGGTTCATGTCGGTCGTGTTGGGGTTGTCCCAAGCCTTGTAGAAGTCGTAGAAGGTCACGTTGTTGTGCTGGATGACGGTGTCGGTGTTGGTGTGGTCAACCAGGTTGTGGCCGACGGGGAGGTCAATCCAGGACGAGTTGCTGACCATGGTAGGGCCGTCGGCGGAGGCCTTGACCACCTCGAGCTGGTCCTTGGGGCCAATGCCGGAACGGAGAAGGATCTTGGCGCTGCCGAAGGTGCCGGCGGAGAGAACGACTCGGCCGGTGGTGTTGGTGACGGGGATGATTCCGGAGTAGCCGCCATTGCGGAAGGCCTCAACCTCCACACCGGTAATGTGGCCGCCCTCACGGATGACGCGCTTGACAGCGGTGTTGAGCCACAGCTTGAAGTTGCTGCGCTTCTTGGCGCTGACGAGGTAAGTCGCCAGAGGACCACCACGCTCGCCATTGATGTACATGTATGAGGTGTGGGAAAAAGTGCGGTTCTTCTGCTCGCTGTCCTTGAGGGAATCGACCTCCTTCCAGCCGCTCGCCTTGAGGCCGCTGGCAAGAACCTCGAAACCCTGCTGAAGGTAGCGCTTTCCATCCTGAGAAGGAGTGGTGGTACCCGGAATGCGGGAGAGGGCTCTGCTGGTAGCACCGGCGATATCGCTACCCTTCCAGCCAGAGGGGAAGAGGTAATCCCAGTCCTTGGTGTAGGGCTTGTACCAGAGACCGGCGTTGATGGCCGTACCACCGCCGAGCACGCAGCCGGCCATCTGATCGGTATCGGAGCAGGCAATGCCATCCGAGTCAACCCAGATCTGGTTGCAAAGACCGGGAACATCGAAGCGAGTAAGGGATGTGTTCTGTAGCCACTCGGGCTTCAGAGTACCACCATGCTCACCAGTGGAAGCGAACCCCTTCTCGATGAGCAGCACGCTCTTACCGGACTCGCTGAGCTTGTCAGCGACGGGAATACCACCGGCACCACCACCAACGACAATATAGTCAAAAGAAACGCCAGTGGGAACAGGAGTGGCGGCAATACTGGTCGTGGTTGGACCACTGCAAGAACCGGTAACGGTCTTGGTGGCCTTGGCAGCCCATGCAGTATAAGAGGGATTGGCAATGTTGCTGTCAAAGGCAGCTCCCCACTGACCCATGCCGTTGTCATGTTGACTGAGAGTGATCTGTGTAGGGCAAGTCGGGTTACCGGGAGAGGGGAACGCCTGGACCCAACCGAGCTGGGCCCCCTTATTGCTGGTAGAAATGCCGCCGGTGACACCGTCTTGGTCCCATGACAAACAGTTCTGGCACCTAAAGACAAGGGTGAAGTGGGTAGCGTTCACGCTGGACGCGATCTGGGTGATCTTGGCGTCACCAGCGTAGTTCTTGGGCATGGCGTAACCCGTGGCGAACATGAGATTGGTGTAGACTTCTCCGTCAGAAGGCCAGGCGGTAATGAGTAGATTGTTGGTCATGGCGCCTCTGAGAGAAACACCGCACCAACCGCTGTTGGCACCATTCTTTTCGGAGGAGCATTCCTGATCGTAAAGGTCAGTACAGGAGGACACTGGGTCGTTTTACTTTCTTTCCCACCAAAACATACCAGATAACCGATGAATTCAGTCGCGTCGGTAGTAAGAGCATTTGACGGCAGAGCCATACCAAGAGTGAAGCCACCTTTGGTCTGGGAAGAGGAAGCACTCCATGTGTTGAAGACAATGCCGGTGTCAGGGTGAGTGAAGGTCTTGGGAGCGGTTTGGGCGAAGGCGGGCGACAGCACTGAGAATCGTCACGTCAGTATCGTTGAGCGGTATGAGTGGTTCGTTGTGTCATTGTTGACTTACATGAAGCCACCGCCGCCAGGCCGCTGAGAAAGGCCGAGGTGGTCCTCATCTTGTACAGTAAGTTCTAGAAGGCCACTTCACACGGTTGGTGCGCGATGGGAAGAAAGAAAGAAGGCCATGATGGAGGGTTCCATGGACTCCCTATATACAGAATCTACGGTCTAGGGGGGCAGGCGGCCGAAAGCAGAAGCACTGATGTTGAGGTGACCGAAAAGGAGTGTTGATGCAAAACTTCCGATAGATGGAGGGGGCGGCAAAGCCTGTCCGAAATTGCGGCTTTGGAGGGATGAAGCCAAGATCTTGCATACCAGCGCAGACCCATGGAATGAGTAGTATGTTACCTCGCGCTCACCATGATCCAGGGGTTAGAACGAGCAGTTTACGTTTGGGGGTGTGAACCAGAGCGGAATGAAGGCAAAGAGGAGGCTACCACATGGCGGGCATCCTCTCGTTGAAACCAGCCAGCCGGTTAACCAGCGGGAGGGATCATGGTCGCGGCTGTCTTCCTTGTCAGCGAAGCCCATCTGGGAAGGTCTTCGATGCCAACCCGTCTTTCCAAAGGCCTAATTAGGTCCATCGACGCGAGCTGGTTTCCCTTGCCGTCAAGATGCGGGTGAAGTCTCCACCCAAGTCAGACGGAGGGAGGTCCCAATAGAGGCCAGGAGACATGTTCCGACAATGGTTCCAAGGTACTATGGTGAGCACATCAAGAAGACGGAGCCTGGTGCGGTTGAGGCCGTCTTGCTCCGTTCAGCTCCATCGGGCATAGTTGGTGATGGTTGCCGATCCCGCGCGTCTGCAACAAACGGCAGATTGCTGCAATGGGACTGTAATGTTAGGACAGCGAGGAAAAGGGGGGGCAAGTGACCAGTTAGCGGCCTCTGGAGGATAGCCGCCGGTCGGGAAGGCGGATGTCGTCGCGGCCCGGAGGTGACGCCCCCGAACACTTTTTAGGAAACGGCTGACGGCACGGCGGGAGGCTCAATCCAGGAACCTGGGTCGCTTCAGTTGCTTGGCACCGAGTGGTCACGCAAAGATCGGCAGTGTTTATTAGCAGGCCCTTGTCATTATGCCCGCCTTTCTAGAATCAAAGAAGGTAAAAGGGGGTCCTGTTTCGGGACGAACATCGAAGATTCCCAGAACAAAACTTGGATAAGGATCGAATTCGCAACCCGTCACCGACTTGGCGGCCGAAGTACTCCTTGACTTGTAACAGCCAAGAGAGATAGTGCTACACCCGTGGCAGCTGAGATAAAATGAGGAGGGGAGAGCTGGGGAAAAGAGGACAGGGCTGACTCCACTGCTGTGAGTGGAAGAGGAAGCCTTGTTGTTTTGAGAAACATGTGAAAGATGCCAAGCTAACTAAATCCACGGAATATGATACAAAAAGCATAAAAGGTGGGAAAAAAACAAAAAGTTAAAGCGACCCACACGCGACTCGAACGCGCAATCTTCAGAGCCGAAATCTGACGCCTTAGCCATTAGGCCAATGGGCCTTCGCTTTGTTGAAACTGAACCATGAAACAAATACTAAGAAGGGATAGCCTGGCAATTGTACACACAGCCATGCGGCAAACCTGGCGGGCATGCATGTATGCATGGGCTCTGCTGATCTGTTTACAACTTTTAAAAGCCCCTCCCCCTCCCCCTCCTTTGTTCCTTTTCCTTTTTCACGATGCTCTCTGAACTCAATTCTCGCTTTCCTATCTCCATACATATTAGTTGCCTTGACATCAATCAAAGGCTCATCCCGATTGCCTTGTCAACTCTGTGTAAACCCAATGCTTCGGCTCGCCACATCCCTTGTAAAACATGGAGGAAATGAGGACTGTCCTGGACGCACCATCCTTGACAATCACACGCTGTTTCAAGTCGAAAACATGACTCCCTTGTCACTCTACCAATCCCCCGCTTGCCGTCGGCACGAAGCTTATCTGGACTGCGCCTCCTCTCCGTCCTAACGCAGAGCATACCATTTTCGGGTTTGATGATTGATGGTCGGCGGCGGTCTTCTCCCAATACACAACTTTTTCCAAGTTGGACCAACGTCACCGGCCAAGCCCGCTTTGTGCCTCTGTGTAAGAAATGCATCCTACTAAGGCGCGGGTTTGAACACAGTGGTTTGCGAAAATGTTGTCTTATGCAGTCGCTTTGCTCGGCATTCTCATTGTCTTCAACAGTCCTCTCAACGATTTTTTATTTTCCAATGTGAATCCGAACCAATGTCCCGGCCAGATCCCGCAACTTCGTCGGATCCCGCTGTCCAAACTCAACCTTAAAGAGGATCTGATTGCATTGGAGGGCAACTCATCGTTGCAATGCATGCCCCACACTCCCGCGCCTGTGGTCCATGTCTACTCAAGGGAGCCATTGGTGCTCTACATCGAGAACTTCCTAAGTCTTGACGAGCGGGAGCACTTGCTGGGCATTAGGTTAGTACATATCCATCAACACCTATTGGCCTACTACTTAGACGAGAGCTCCTCTGCCAAGCATCGGTTACTAACACCCCACCCAAGTGAACCTCTCTTCGAACCCTCCACCACCACCAGCGATGGCGGCCAGACTACCCACCGCAACACCACAGTCCGTGACTCCGAAGTGGCCGTGATCCCCCGTACCGACCGCGTCCGGTGCATCGAGAACCGCGCCCGCGAGATCCAGGGCTGGAGGGAAAACGTCTTCATCGAGAGGCTGCGTACCCAGCGGTATCGCCAGGGTGGCCACTACAACCACCACTTCGACTGGAGTTCCAACCGTGGGGGTTGGGGCCGTGTCAGCAGCTTCATGGTCTGGGTCGACGACGGTGATGGCAGCCTGGTGGGTGGTGGTACCGAGTTTCCCCGCATGAAGAGGTCGAAGGATCCACGATGGTGTGCTTTTATTGAATGTCCCGGGAAAACGGCCGACAAAGGAGATGGACTGGAACAAACACCCGAATTGGGCGTGACTTTCAAAGTCATTCCCGGCAATGCTGTCTACTGGGAGAATTTCCGGTCGGATGGTACTGGCAGAGGATGGGTTGAGGCGTGGCATGCTGGCTTGCCAGTCGAGAAAGGGGTCAAGGTTGGACTGAATATTTGGAGCACGGGGTATATCGAGTAGGCAATATCATAGGGGCCATGGACTCGCACAACTATCATTGCGAGTTGACGAAAATAGACAGCACGAACGAGACAGCCCGATCACACATGAACGCGATCCTCGACGACAGCCCCGCTTGTATCCCAAGGTGATTGACGCAGGTCGCACAACCTGGCACTTGCGCTCTCGAGAGCCACCTGCCCAAGCAGTCCACCTCTCTTCAATTTTCTATTGAGAGGGAAGCTCATTGTGCAGCCCATACGTGGTATAGCGGGTCTCGCTCCGCCATGTTTCACACGCCGAAGACACGTTACCAGATGGATGTGCCATCGTCATGTTGCATCACGATACCGAAGTATCTGCGACTGTGACCAACGGTTCGTTAGCCAGCCGAAAAGACAAACAGAGCAAAAAAAGAAAAAGGAAAGTGTGGTCCGTACCGGACTCGAACCGGTATCTTCCTAAAGGCCGTGACCGAAGTGGAATTTCCACCTCAAAATGTTGCTCATCACACCAACGACCCACGGAAAAGTGAACAGGATAAAGATCTTATATAGGCGCGGGAATGTTCGGATGACGCTGGGCAGGCAGAAGGTAGAGGCCACGCGAGAGCGGCAGGCAGGCAGGCAGGCAGGCAGGCATCACTTACTCTGGACTCACTTTGAACTCTCAAGACGGCTCCCACCTTAAGATCGAACTATAGGCAGGTATTAGGCGGCCTTCCAAATCAAAACCATGAATGTGATCTAGGGCCTAGGCCTCGATACCGAGACAATCGACAGTACACTGCATTGCTGATCGCAGCTGAGCTTCTTTTAACGACTACCCATTATTTCAGTCACCAGCAGGCGATTACAAGGCTTCAAGGTTTGCCCCAAAGGGTTCCCGAAAAAAGACATGAAGAGGTTAAAAGTTTGAGGTCAAGGCATCGAATCAAGGGCTACAACCAGACCTGACATCCATAAATTCCCAAGACATTCACCTCCCACCCCCTCGATGCCAGACACAACACAACACAACATGAAGTTTTTGGACTCGAAAGAAGTGTACTACACAAAGTCACCCTGCAATGTTCGCGAAGATTGTTTAACATGTGACAGCGTCAATTAAACAGAGAAACGAGACTCACGCCCATGCAGTGACCCATCCGCATCTAGACAACCACAAATCTGTCGTGCTGCCCGCACGCACGATATTTGCTCGAAGTCAACCCTGGAGACAACGTGACATCCATGAACCGAGGTCGAACACGATGCAGTCGAAACACATTGCATCACTCAATTCATCAATCAATCATATGGAAATAAGTTTCACGACATGTTCCGTCATCAAGGCAACTAGCCGGATCCCGAAGACGAGGTACCACCCTTTTCGGTGAGAGTACATACCGTGAAGAGTGGCACGACATGTGATCGAAGATTCGAGTCCAACTCTTTCTGAGACCGGCGGTTATATAGTGATTTTTTGTGCTGAATCATCTTTCCAGGTTTTACGGCTAATTCTTCTGAGATCTGAAGTCCACAGGGAGTACGGCGTTCAACTTAACTGCAGGACTTACACAATCATCACAGAGACGGGACTAAGACAGACTATGCACACTTCATTAATCTAGCATCACTTCTAGCTAGCAATGAGACTTGGCTTAGTTTACCAATGCCAAAACTTCATGAACCCCTTCGCTTGATAGTCAGCGGAAAGCCTTAAAAGAAGGTGACGAAAATAAGTCGTAAACAACTTGAAAAGCTGAAATCGAATGGAAAACAGGATCAATGGGACAAGTATGATCACAAGGGTCAAATAACCGAAAAGAAAAGAAAAAAAATTCACCAAAGTCCAAAAGAGAATACGGAAAATACACAACCACGTAAACGTTGACCCGTTTCCACCTTGAAACCTCACCCTCCTCTTGCAACGCATCACTCAAACAGTATGCAACCATCTAAATCACTCTGACCTATCGAGTTCCTCATGGCCCCCCAGGACCAAGAGGAGGCATCGTACCGGGAAAACTTGAACCCATCAGTCCTGCTCCTGCCGGTCTCGGCCTACCCCCCTTAGCTCCAAAAGTAGCAGCAGGCGACCACGAAGACATAGAGCCACCGCGCTCGTCACTCCGCTCATGCTCAACAACCACCTCGACTTCAAACCTAGCCATGACCACCTCACTTTTATCCTTTCCATTTATGTTTTTTTCTTGATGATGATGATGATGATGATGATGATGAAAATGATCGAACAAAAATCCCAGTTGTGTATCCTTATCGAACTCAGTTATATCCACCACCTTGCTTTCCCTCCTCCATTTGCTCCTCCCTGAATCACTTTCACTTGTTGGCTCATCATCAACGGACTGATCGCTAGACGCAGCACCACATACAGGTAATATGGCTTTGATAGCACTGATCCTTACTTTGCTTTCATCTTTTCTTCCCTCTTTCCCTTGGTTCGAGGCAAAACCCTTCAGAGATAAACTGTGTCTGTCAATGGCTTCAAGAGCCACAGCTTGAATTGCGGCAACGGTAAGGCGGGGAAGAGAACACAGGATGGTGAGGCGGGAGGGGCCGTCGATTTGGGAGGCAAAGTTTATGGTTATGAGGACTGGTGGGGTGGTAGAGGTAGGCTTGTTCTTGTTGCTGTCGCCACAGGAGGAGCATGGGATTGTGATGGAGTTCTGGTTGGCGGTGGGGTTGGGGGAAGAAAAGGTGGAGATGGAAGGGGCAGAAGGGGAAGAGGAGATGGTGCTAGATGCCCCTTGGAAAAGGCGGGATGTAACAGACGGTAAATTTGGAGAAGCATTGGGTGTTATGGTGGTTGTTGCCGAGGAAGAGGAAGAGGTAGAGGAAGAGGCGGGTACATGAATGGAAGTAGGAAGTGGTGGTGGTGGTGGTGGAGGAGGAATGATTCCAGCTGTGGTATATGCCCTCGATCTCTGGACGTGCCAGGGTGCTGAACCGTAGACATGATTGACAACTCGAGACATTGGTGGAAAGGGAGGCGGCGGTGGTGGTGGCGGCGGTATATGATATTGGGACTGCTCTGGCTTTAACGAATGACCATTGGGTTTGGGATTACTTCCAGGTACAGCATCACCAATTGCTGACAAAGCCGGCGGTACTGGCTGGGTAGCCGTAGTAGCAGGAAGTGATTGTGACAGCAATTGCACATGCTGAATACTACCAGGTCTGAAGTACTGGTCCGTCGGCCTCATCGCTTGTCCATGACAACTCCTATTCTGAGACTGGAAATTGTTGAGCTGCTGAAATGACCAGCATGGTTCTTTTCCAGATCCCGCACTAGCAAAGCCATCGGGAAGCAGGGGCGGCGGTGGCGGAGGAGGAGGATGATAAGGAGGAGATGCGTGGCTCACTCCATTCCCAATTCCACCAGTCAACCCCATATTCCGAAGAGGCCACCCTGGCGGTGGAGGCGGCAGAGGAGGGAAATCAACACCAGACGCGCCGTTCATACGGTTATGATATGGCATGTTATGCCGCTTAACAGGAGGTTTTGATGGTCCGAGGACAGATTGACTGGTGTATGTAGGACCTGAGTTGACACAAACATTTGAGCGTCGGCTAGATGACGAGCTTCTTCCGCCCGAGCGTACTCGCCTGGAGTCACATTTAGAACCAGAGGTTGACAAACTTGCTCGGCATCGTCCGCGAGACCGAGAACGGGAACGGGATTGGGAACGAGAGTAGCTATTTTCACGAGAAGTTGAGGCGGAACGCCATCGGAGGCTTCTTCCACGTCGCCTAGGTCTTCTGGTTTCTTTTTTGTGAGTTTCGCAGCAAGGCAAGGTACATGAAGTAGACCTGGAGATGACCGATTCAGCATCGTGCCCTTGGTTATCGTCAAACCCATGCTCTGAGTCAACGGAGCCATGAGCCTCCTTGTCGGCTTTGGTTTCCCTGGTTCTGGGAACGATCGAGTACCCGCTGGTCTGGATGTAGTTCTGTACGGATTCTGCCGACTTGACCATCAATGAGTGAAGAACCCAGTAGATAGTCGGTCCCGTTTCGACCAGGAGAGGGCCCCTGAAGTTCTCCTTGGACTGCAGCACCACGGCTCTGAATTGGCCTTGTTTTTTGGCGACCACGAGAGATAACTCGGTGTCTGGGCTGCTGAAGAATCTACAGTTCTCTAGAGTAAGGTCAGTACATTGTGTTCCTGTTAGATACATGTGACGGTGGAAGGCCCTAAGGATCAGTATTGAGTGAGAATAGTAAGTAGCATTGCAATGTGAACCAGCTGAGTAGAACGACTCACTCAAGATCAAGCCTTCCAAGCCAGGGACAGGAAATGGATCCGTAACGGGTGCCATCGTGGGATCACTAGTGTGACCAGTGATACTAGGAGTCGCAACTATCTTCAGTTCAGTCGACGACACTAGCATTCCGAAAAGGGTGTTATGAAGCCTGTGCTAGGATACGCTAGAGTAGACATGGTAGATTTGTGAGTGTTTTGTCGTGGAGGAACAACAACATACTTATAGCAGAGTGTCTGTTGTAAGCTGGGTCTCTGGTTTGAGTGTCACAAGGAGAGAAGTGACTGAGTGATCAAAATTCAAGCAAGAGTCTCGAAAAAATGGATTAGGACTTGACACGGCAGATCGTACACACAATTGGTCTTGATAAAAGTGAGGCTACAATTCATGGGTATGCATGCTTGCCGTCACAATATCGCCAACACAGCCGCCTTGCACGACGAGAATCATGGGTTAGCTTTAACAACCACAGAAAGCATAAACAAAACATTAATCACCTTCTGATCAAGGAGTAACCTATAAGCGTGATAGTGGATAGTATACGTATCAGTAACGGGGCGCTTGAGTGAGGCCAAGGTGTGGTAACAAGCTCGTTGGAGCTCGAGGCTGTCGAGATACCGAAACGAGCACAGGCAGGGAGCCTCGAGCTAATAAAGCCGGGGAGCGTAATTTGGAAAGGCACATACCGAAGTTGGGGTATGCCGTTGAGCTTTTGCTTGACTTTCGAGTGCTTGTTATCTGTCGGACGTCGTACGCCGCAGTCGCTCGTGTAGTCGCTCGTGTGAACCTGACCGGTAACTGGGGCTGGTGAGGTGGTGAGAATGACCGGTTTTGGTTGTGCAGGATTCGGAACTGTGTTCGTGAGGAGCCTCGAAACTGGGTATGGGTTGTTGTTGATTGATTACATGCGGGATATGCATAGCTCTCTTCTACTTACAGCCAACAAAAGCCACGAACATGGGTCGGGAGACACAACAGAGATGTTGACATGCCCCTTGACGATACACAAGTTGTTGTCTGGCTTGTTTAACGTTGACCAGATCAGACGATCCAGGACCTCGGGAGATGCATGGCTTGACTACCTGGAGCCATCCTTGCCGCCCTGAAGTTTGTTCCTACAATTCCATGAAATGAAGGTAAAACATGGGATAAGCGATGAAATGACGATAACATTCGACTGCAACCCATGTTGAACGCAAGACGAATATGGATGACACAGCAGATGAGGCGTAAGAGCGTAGGCAATTAACCGCTAGGTGGTCGAACCTCCGATCGAGATGACGGGGAATCAGCAGCCAACATTCAAACCCGGAATGCTGTGGTTGGATACACGACCCAAGGCTTGTTGATGGTACACCAAGTAAGGCAGACCTCATGCCACGAGGAAGAAGTTAGCCCGATCGCTAAACCATCATCTACTGACTTTTAGAAAGTTCACACTTGTGACAATCTTAACCGAAATACGCTTAAGCACACCAAGGACAGAGTTTTATTTATATTATTTTTGAATAATATTTTTGGGAAAAGGAAGAACTTTATTTGACGTTGTCATAGAAGTTTCATCCAAACAACCCCCCCCCCCCCCCTTACCATCCTATCTAACTGTCCAAACAAGAACCTGCCGAAGAAATGAACTCATTCAATACTCAACTTTTCAAGACGCGACTTCACTGCCTCTACGAGGGCAGTTTCACGATCCAGCAAGCTCATGACTTGCGCAACCTTTTGCTTTCGAATCTCCGACGGAATCTTCATCACGGGCATCGGCGAGGCGGTACCGTCAACGCTATCCGTGCTCTGAAGCTGCTGAGCTTGCTCAAACAAGGCGTCCCTAAGACTTTGGACCTCCTCGAAGCGCTTGAGTGACTTCCCGGCAGTGGAGATAGATGCAGAGGTGGTATCTTCTTCTTCTTCCTCGTCGCCCAAGATACTACCTGCCAAATTGCGGACCTCCTCTGCCCAAGCCTTTTCCTTGTCGCTCAACTCCCGAGTCGAAACCTGACCCAAACGCTTGCGCAGGTTCTCTACCCTGCGAGCGAGGTTCTCTTGTCTGACCTTCATTACATCTATCCTGTTTCTGACCAGCATTTCTTCGGAAATATTTTGTTCCTTGGTGCTCCTGCTCTCTCCTTCTCCAGAAATGGTCTCGATCCGCTGGTTGACCTCATAAACCTTGGTGATTTGCTCCTTTAGCTCGTATGTCAGTGCCTCGCACTTCCTGAAGAGCTCCGCAACGGCATTGTTGAGCTCGAACACCTCGGAACTGACAAGACGATGACCTTCCGTAAAGATTTCCAGGGTGGCAACCGACAACCGGACCTCCTGCTGCATAAGCGGGCGCTTCCTGCTAGTTCTCAGAGCATCCACCCACGGAGGCAAGGTGCTGGGCCGGCTCAGTACTTCGGAAGGATGGAACAGCGGCCGTGGTTCCCAAACTGTGAGAGGTTCAGGCGTTTCTCCATGTTCGGTCGACATGGGAGTCTCCTGACGATCCGACATCAACTCGCTCTCAGGGGTATCAAAGAACATAATGACCGGATCATTGTGAGTAGCGGACAAAACGAAGTGGCCCAGATCGGAGCTCTTGAATGCCGTAGCCGCAGCAAGGACATTCTGGGCGTGCTGGGGTGTGTAGATGCGATCGACCTCGGCACGCTGTCCCTTGACCATGAGGTCAAACCGGAAGTCAGCCCCCGCCTCAGAGTCGCTCTGGAGCTCGCTCTCTAGGAGGGAAACCCATGGAGCCAATGAGACATAGGTGATGCCAGCAGCATGTGTGACGTAGAACGCATAGCGGGTGGTAACATCCTCACTGAACACCGGCCAACTGTCAGGCGTCATCTCGGCTGGCTTGAGCGTGTCAAAAGTGTGGAACACGAGCAGAGACGGAATGGCTTGATCAGGGAAAGCTCGGGTCGAGGCGTTCCGCGGAGGCAGCCATTGAGCCTCCACTCCATCGATATCGAGACAGACCTTGACCTGTCCGCTGGTCGACAACAGGCAAATGACAGACACTGAGAGACTATCTTTATCGTCATCATCCGCATAAAGCTCAAAGTCTTCGCCCATCATAAGGTCGGCAGTGTTGCGTTTAGCGCCGATGACGAAAATGTCCTTCAGCTCAACCTCGTCGTCCTGTTCATCTTGGGGAGCAACGGCCAACTCGAAGGGACCCTGCAGTCGAGGAATGCTTCCCGGTCGAGAAGGGCGCGAATACACCTCAGTGACTTCTCCATAGGGGCCATCGAGGAGTTTGGGCTCCTGGTTGTCGAGATCGGCCATCCACTCTAGCTGTTGCTTAGCGAGGAGCTTCTCCTCCCGAGTAGCCTCCGGATCAGTCTCGAGGGTCTCAATCTTTTGGGCAACAGAGACGGAAAGCGAGGGGATGAGAGTCGGAGGAGGCGACCAGCGTCGCGGCAAGAGGGGGCACAGAGCGTAAACATCTCCCTCAGCCATGGCCACCCACAAAGTCATTGGCGCCCAGCCGTTCGAGTTGCGCGAGGCAAAGCAGGCCGAAGCGACCTTCATGTCGAAGTCATCGGGCGAGAAGGCTTTGTTGGTCGATGTCGAAGCACCGAAATCCTGGTCCAATGAAGTGCCGTCGGCCAGCTTCTTGAGGTCGACCTCGAGGGTCGGGGTGTCGAAGGACCACCGATCAATAGTGGAGAGCTCCCATTCGCGAACCACAGCGTCTTCAGTCACGGTTACGAGACAGCTGCCATTGACGCCCAGAGGGTGCCACAGTGCGCTAACAACAGCAGACTTGGAGGTGACGTGAGTGGTAGGACCGACGGTCCAGAACTTGGGCTTGAAGGGGGCCGTCTCTCCAGAGGTGAGGTGGGACGTGTCGGGCAGCATACAGACATGGACTGTGTGAGAGGTCAGGACGGCCAACTGGTCCTTGTTAGGGGAGATGACCAGCTGCCGGATCTCGCTGGCGACAGGGGTCTTGATGACCTAGAAGAGGAAAACCATGTCAGTACCCAATGTGGCCATGTTGGATGCGCCGTATGCGCCGAGTCTCGGGAATTTGTAGCCACATACCCTGTAGCCTGGTCCCTGGGGAAGACGGCTTGTCTCCTCATCGTAGACCTCGAAGGAGCTATCGGAGCCATCTCCGTTGAGGTGGCTTGCGGAGCCGGTCCGTGACTGCTGGGCCTCCCAGGCGTCTTTGAGATCGGCAAGATCTCCCCATCTGATTTCCCTTCCTCTGGCAACAAAGACCTCGTTTCCTCGGTGTGCGATGGTGCGATTGGGTCCCTGACTGGCGTTCCTGGAGGAAGCTATGGAAGCGGGGAGCCGGTTGGTTTCCTCGGCCTGCTCAAAGAGCTTATGGCCGGGGTTTGGCTCCTGGAGCCAGGGCGCCGAGAAGCTCCGGATTTTGGGCATCCCGACTGTGCTTGGTGGTTTGTGCTAAGGGCTGTCTGTTGTCGCTATACTATCCAACTCAAGCCTGATGAATCCTACAGATGACGGTGGTTCGTGTTGCGCAATGAAAACCGAAGTTGGTGTCTGGCTAGGCAGAAATAGCAGCTAGTGTTGAGGTCCTACTATGTACTAGCATGCACGGGCCGGTTTTGTCGTCGTGCTGCACTTCGCTTTCTCTGCTGAAGTAATGTATGTAGGTGGGTAGGTAATTGACTATGTAGGTAGGCAGGCGCACTATGGTCGAGGTACGTGTGTATTGATGTACCGGTACTATTCATGTGATGGCGGTTCTCGGTTTTTGAAGATGAAAAAAAAGGTGATCAAGAGCAAGTAGAACAGAAGCCAAGGGAGGGAAGAGAAGGAGAGATTGGGATCCCTTTTTGAAGTGGCAGGCCCCTCGATCGATGGGAGAAAAGCCAGGAAAGCGAAGTTTGCTAGTGGTCTCGGTTGGCTGGTCAGGATGGTAACAACAAGGTTTGACTAGCGTGTACCATAGTGCTATGGATGGATGCCCGTGGATGGGTGAGTGCTGGATGCCGCTATTGTCCAGTCCGAGCCAGTGCTGTAAATGAGGCGTCCAGGGCGTCACTAGAGGCGTCCGCTTCCGTGCCTATGCCGTATATTTTCCGCTGCTTGCCTTGATCGATCGTGTTAGCTTCACTTTAGCGCGTTTCCACTCCTTCCACAGCCCTTTAGTCCGTTTCAACTGTCCGCCGGTGTTCAGTCCAGACCGTGCTCGCCGCCTCGTCTCACACCATCGGTCATTGATCAACAGGAGACAGGCAGGCAGCCCGGGATGAGAGGGGATGGAATGGCCGAATGGAGGTCTTAACGGAGACCTAGCTGTATACATACTATAAATGGTAAGCCCGAGGTAGGTACAGTCGTGCTGTGACGCGCCTGTAAATTGGGTGCCAGATTGCGGTCCAATCGGCTGGCAATTGTTGTTGGATCAACGACCAAGCGCCTCCACCAAGTCCTCTGCCCTTGCTTCCATCTCTCTGCCCTTGCCTGCCGTCGTCATATTTGCGGGCACCTCGTAAGATAGGGTACCTGACCCACCACCAACGGCTTCCGTCGCCCGTTACAGTGCCAAGACTACCTGGATTGCCATGCAGTGATGTCCGATGCACTGTGACACTGTGCGCCAACAGTGAGGACAGCAAGTAACTGAACTGAACGAAGCCTGCTGCTGTCGCGGTCCTCGGGCACACCAGTCGCGCTCAGAAAGCTGCGCCTGTACTTCCACTTTAGCGGGCAACCCAAGTTAGGTCCAATTCCATTGGCATCATCTCCATCGACGTCTCAGAACTCCAAACCATTGAACTTCCACTTGGGCTGACAGCTTTTGATTTCCTTCTTCTTCGCAGTTGCAGGGCACCTTTCACCCAAGAGCAGATTGGATCCATCTTCACTAGGTAACCATGTTGAACACTCGCCAAAGGAGCACCGTAGAGCGCCTTGACAGGCCAAGTGCATACTTTTTCAACAAGGTGAGTGCTCCTGACGGCATTTCCATGCCCAAACATTGCCAATCTCTCCTGTCCATAATTAGCACCCCGTCAACCGCTGACCCATCCACTCAACCACAGAATAGGCGCAACAGACGTCACGACCGGGACCACCGCGATGGAGAAAATGAAGACAGTAACATGCATCCCGAAGCGTTCGATGACCCGTTGAAGGATGCGACCACTCTCTACGTCGGCAATCTGCAAGTTTGCCCCACGCTGCCAGTCCTTAATTAAAAAAATCAAAAAAATCAAAAGAAACAAGAACTAACCGAACGTACCTCGGCAGTTCCTTCTACACTACCGAAGAACAGGTTTACGAACTCTTTAGCAAATGCGGCGAGATCAAGCGCTTGGTCATGGGCCTCGATCGCTTACAAAAGACACCGTGCGGTTTCTGCTTCGTCGAATACTACACCCATCAGGACGCTCTCGATTGCATGAAGTACATTGGCGGCACCAAGTTGGACGAGCGCATCATCCGAACTGATCTCGACCCAGGCTTCGAGGAAGGGCGACAGTACGGCCGTGGAAAGTCGGGCGGCCAAGTTCGTGATGAGTACCGTGAGGACTACGACGAGGGCCGCGGTGGTCTTGGCCGGCAAATCCAGGCCGAGAGAATGAGGGAGCATGACCACAAGCGCTACGACGATAACGACGAACAGTACGGCCGCTTGCGCTAGAGTAATCATTGCATGGGAGTTACGTGGGACAATGAGGGAGTGCATCATGATTCAGTGCACAGATATTCAACCAGTCGTCATGACAAATCGACACAAAATATGCAAGCCGGCTCTGAAATTACGGATTTTGTTCATTCAGGGCAAGTGGAGGCGGAACAGAGAAGCGTGAAAGACAAATACCCCCTTGGAAGACATGATATTCGTTGTTGTATTGGTATCTTGCTATGGTGTTTCGGGAAATTATTGATTTCCCATCCATTCGGTATGGCTCCACACATTCTTCTGTGATGCTCGCCTGGCCGTGTTTGCGCTGCTCTCTGCAGTGGTATCTCAACATGGAGCGAGCAGGAGTGTCCATGATGGACAGGACCTCAAGTCAGTCAGTCTCCTTGCGAGACGAGACAGGAGGCCTCCTCTTCTTTGCCCCAAGCAAACGGTCCTGTTACCGGTATCTCCAATGTCACCCATGCCATTTCGCTGTGTAATGTTACAAGTGATATACATGCTTGCACGATATCGTCCATCGTCCGGGTCGAAGGTCTTAGTAACCGGGAGGGTTGACTCTCTGGGACACACGGGTCCACTTGGGAAGCTCTGGAAAAGGAATGCCGCATTAGCCTTGGTCTTTGACTGCTGTGAAGTGATGCACAATGGTAGTCCGTACTGTGGATGCCCTTGCGGTACCTCTTCTCCTTGCGGTCGAAGATGGTGTACTTGTCCTTGGGCAGCATCTCGGCCTCGGTGGGCATCTCAGCCCTCCAGCGTTCCACCGCCTTGACGGTCTCACCCTTCTTGGCAAGAGCGTTCTCAATGGTGGCAACGACGTTGTCAACGGCCCTCAGTCTGCGGCGCTGCCTGAGCTTCTGGAACTTGGACATGCGCCATGGGATCTTCCTGTTTGCCGCGACATGATTAGCATTTCTGGTAGAACCTTTGGCGCAACTGCAACATAGGGTAGTCGCTTACCAAAGAAGACCCCCGGAGAGGGGGTTGGTGAATCTGAAAGCCCCAAACATTGTGGTGGTGGTGGATGTTTGGGGGGAGAGCTGCAACCGGTTCGCTTCGTCAGGATGGGTCCCGAAGGTATCGCGGGAATCGGCGCGGGCGGGCGGTCGTCGTCCAAACAGCAGGCCCGTCCAAAAAAATCGCGGGTCCGTTCGCCAACCCCAACCCCGAAGAGACACAGACTGGAGAGCGGATGCCAAGACCCAGTCTCAAAAAGTAGGCCTGGATTCTCCCCTGCAAGGTCCACTGTTCAGCCTCGTGGAGTCCCCATCTTTTTTGTGAAATTCCCCGGTTCCGTCTTTTCCATTGCCTGCTCCCACGGAACAGCCCACCCCGCTGTCCGCGCACTGTCCGCGGCAGATGGACACACGGGTGCACCTGCAGCATTAGCGCCGTCCGTCACCGAAGGAACCTCCAGCTCCAACAACCACGCCCGCCCGCCGAACCGGCTGCTGTACCTACGATTCCCAGCAATCAACTGGAACAGAAGACAGACCACCCCAATTCCGGGCCACTGAACATATCACGACCGAATCAACAACGAATAGCGCTGGTCGCAAACACATCTCCGACGACAGACACGCACGATACGAGACACAAGAATAGACAAAAGCGAGGGCCGATTGAACGATAGACCCCCAACCCACCACGACCAGACAGGGGAGCTTGCGGAGCATCACATCAGGGCATCAAGGAACTACCGGCAAGACGACCACGACACCCGGACGACAACAATCATGAGCTACTACTTCGCCATCATTGGCACCCAAGATAACCCGCTCTTCGAGTATGAATTTGGCACCAGCAAACAAGGCGGCGACGGCATGGCTCGCTTCACGGAACAAGCGCGACAGCTCAACCAATTCATCATCCACAGCAGTCTGGACATTGTCGAAGAAGTCCAATGGACCAACGGGCAGATGTATGTCTCTCTTTCCCCTCCTCCCCCCCCTTCCCCCTTCTATTTCCTAGCTCCCTTACTAACCCCCCATTCCCTCAATCCAGGTACCTCAAACTAGTCGACCGCTTCTTCACCTCGTACATCTCCTGCTTCCTAACCGCCTCCAACATCAAATTCCTCCTATTGCACCAACCCCCCTCCTCCTCGTCCTCCTCTGCCCTCCCCCACCCTTCTTCCTCCGCCTCCTCTTCGACCCCCTCTCTAGTTTCGTCCTCCCACCACCCTCCATCATCAACCTCTGTAATCCCTTCTCTGTCTACGCTCACTGGTGGCTCCAACTCTTCCACCAGCACCCTGACCGGGGGCACCAGCCGGACCTCGACCTCGATAGCAGCCAACCCCACCTCCCCACAAACCGAAGAAGCGATACGGAATTTCTTTGCCGAGGTGTATGAGAATTACGTGAAAGCCATCATGAGCCCGTTTTACAGGACGAACATGGAGATTCGGAGCCCGGTTTTTCGGGCGAGGGTGGCGGCTGCGGGGAGAAAGTATTTGTAGGACAGATACGAGGGTAGCAAGGGAGGTGGGGTGACAGCTGGGAGGGTGGTAAGGTGGGAGAGTAGTAGTTGGGGGAGGGTGAAGGGAAAGGACGGTGGTGATGCTCAAATTGTTAAGAGCAGGGAGCGGCTTGGGTCGTTAGGGCAGACAAGATTGGAGGCGGTGGTCCCGAGTGGATAGGGGATCGGGGGGTCAGATGTTCCTGGAGAGGGAGATGTAGGGAACCAACATAAGGGACAGGGATGGATGTGGGATGGGCGACTCTGAGAGTGGCCGACTGTAGCCTGGTGATGTGGATGCCGTGGGATATCATCAAGGAGATGGAAATCGATGATCGATGTGATGACGGGACGAGAGACAAGAAAGGATGTGGTACGATACTCGTAATGTTTTATACCCCTTGGATTAGCTGGAAGGGTCGAAGGCATTTCAGTTGATGCATGCAGATAGAGACGGGATGGCGAGCAGTATCGTGTAGCCAGAAAAGACCAAGGCTCCGTGTGCCTGGTTTAGTCAAATGGTACACAGCACACTCCGCACCGACGCATTACACATCACCGACATTGTGGTATTGTTCCAAAACTGAGGAGACACGCTGCAGAGGACGCTGGATTATCATGTAAAGTAATCGATGATGACTAGCCTATTACGTGCCCATCACACATCTTCCTTCTCTGATTTGGGGACAGCTGGAATTGGAAAAATGGAGAGAAGAGATGCGCAACGCACTGTGACAACAAATCTTCCCATCCATCATCCATCTCGCTTTGTATGTTTCTCATCATATCAAAGATGTAGTCGACCCTTTGCCTTTGCCACGACTAACACAACGCCTCCTGCCAAAACCAGCCGTCAAAAGCGGTAGTACCCGTGTGCCCCAAAGAACGCCATTCCCTTGTGCGGTTGTATCAAAACTGGAATCGCAACACACAAAAATTCGCCCAAAGATTCATGCCAATGTTGTAGTAATCAATCGCTCGTTTGTTGTTCTCCCTATCGTCGTGCACGTCCCCTAACCAGAAGTATAAAGCTTCGTGATCACATTTAACCACCGAAACCATAGAGGGTACGGCCCTGGCGCTTGAGGGCGTAGACAACGTCGAGGGAGGTGACGGTCTTGCGCTTGGCGTGCTCGGTGTAAGTGACGGCGTCACGGATGACACCCTCGAGGAAGGTCTTGAGAACACCACGGGTCTCCTCGTAGATCACTATTGGTGAATGGGTTAGCTGATTCTTGACTGGTGGAAGGATTGGGAGGGGAAAGGTAACATACTAGCAGAAATACGCTTGACACCACCACGACGGGCGAGACGGCGGATAGCGGGCTTGGTGATACCCTGAATGTTGTCCCTAAGAATCTTGCGATGACGCTTAGCACCACCCTTGCCGAGGCCCTTGCCACCCTTTCCGCCTATAAAGTCATCATGTCAGCTTTGTCTGAATGAAAAGTGGAAAGTTAATGTCGACGACGCTGAGGTCTGATGCAAGCTGGTGGTTGTTGACAATGCGTCGGTGATGTGGTTGAAGTGGTGTGCTGCAAGTGAGGTGACGTGACGCGTTAAGGAGCTATGCCCCCCATGCATCGCTACCACATTCCCCACGTACACGCTCGACCGCCAAAAAGGTATCGCGAACTCTTGGGCAAGCAACCGCGCAGCCATGCATCGACGACAGCGACGTCGACAAGTAGGAACAAGACAAATGATTAAGTATTACTTACGTCCGGTCATGTTGATTAGTTGATGGGGTTGTGTATTGATTTAGATAATCCGTGACGCGATGCACAGATTGATGGAGTACTGTTTGTGGATAAAAGCAGACACCAAGAAGGCTGAGAACAGGAACAGGAAATGGAGAGGGTTTGGGGCGAGGGAGAGGATCTGGTTAAATAGGCACGGGAGACGGGGGGTTGCAAAATGGAATCAGCGGGTCACCAGAGGGCAAGAAAGGTTTCAACAGGTGGCTGCGCGCCTGCCCGGATTGCGGATTTGGGGGTTGGTGCTGATTGCGAAGGGTGGAATGAGTGGGAAGGTGGGCGATAGCAAAAGGGCACTAATCCTTTTTCGGAATTACGAGTGGTGGTTGCTGGGTGTGTTGTGTGAATTTATTTTTTTAGAACTTGATCAAAACTGCCGTATTTTGCGACGTGCAAATCGCTTGTTATTCATGCTCTAAAAGCGTGCTGCTTGGAGCTGTTTGTTTTCCCTCCAAGAAAGAAAGGGCCCCTGCTGCACATCGCGTTGTGTCGTTGGTCCAAAGAGAAGCGGGAAAGACCGCAAACTGGTCTGTGCTCGCACCAACCTTGCTTTAGCGTCGCTGGAAACCATGAACGCTCGGGCCAGGAGACCGTTCCTCGCTGATTCTGATCTTGAATTGTTTTGAAGGCTCGCTCTGATTGGATTGAAGCTGGAAATCGTGTGTGAAATGGATGAGGTCCTTGATGAGAAAGTGGAAAGCATAGGTACTAAGGAGGAAACATGGGACAACGGGAAATCCGGGGATGCAAAAGGCGTCCGATGTATTAATATATTCTAGAACTGTAAAGCGCTCTGAAGTCTTCCATCCCAGATCACCCTTACCAAACTTGCTAGCGCCCGACTCCTCCAGACGAGTTTGCAGTTGCTGAGGCTGTTCCACTTCGGTGCTTCTAGGTCGTCTGGTATCTACGATGCCTTCTTCACCTGCGGTACCTACCCGCTCTTGCAATTTTTCTTTGGGAAAGTCACGCCGACAAGACTTATCCGACTTATCAGGCGCATGTTTCTGCTTTTCTTCTGCAACGACTTTTCTTTTCTTCATCGGCCCTCTCCGACTCAAACCGCCAACTCATTCTGGTCTCCTTCATGAGGCAGACATAGCCGGGCCTCCCTAAGGACTCTCATGCCAATGAGTACTATACATTCTGGCCAATGCATTTTTAAGGTCATGATTACTCCTCTAATCGTCCAGTGTGCCGTTCTCGAAAAAAAAAAAAAAATCCATGTAGGTGAGAGGTCTGAACCCAGTAGTGAGGATATACCAATACGCCGGCTTCCTCACACCTGCCCATGTTCTCCGTTCCCAAGCATAAAAACGCCTTTTCCATGCAGACATTGGGTGCGAATGTGAAGCAGTAGCTGGATCTGGAAGCGAACGGCCTGCTCTTTCTGTCTCATTCCGTCACCCAGCAAGAAGCTCCCGCGCATCAGATTGATGACGCTTTTGTCACCCATTCGTCGCCAACAACATCATATCCATCTGGTGAGCCATGCTCTTCAAAAGCAATTTGTTGAGGGGTATGTAACTGGAAAAAAACGCATCATCATGCAACCTGAACCCGTAGCCATAAAAACAAGAATGTCCCACCATACCCATACCACCAAGACCAAAAGCAACATATTTAACTTCAGGGGTATCACTGCATCATGGAATCGTCCGGTCCATCGTCGTCCTCCAAGCTCTCAATGGCTTCCTTGATTTGAAGGCTCGCCTGATAGTAGCAACTGTTAGCAACATCTTCTATTCCAGTCGCCTCCTTGAGTACAAAACTCACCTTTGGATCCAAGCTCAAAGCAATGGTAAAGTGGCGCACCGCCGATTTCTTATCGTGCAGTGTCTTGGAGAGCTTGCCCAAAAGGAAGTGCACCTGGGCCCTGTCTGGAGCCAAGTCCTTCAGAATCATGAGTTCCGTCTGCGCCGCCTTTAACTGCCCCATCTGCAAGAGGGCACGAGCCTTCTTTAGCCGGACATCGGGGGCACGTGGAGCCAGTTCGGTCGCTTTGGTGAAGTACGGTAGGGCCTGTTTGAACTGTTTCTGCCTGTGCAAGACCGAGCCTATGCAGCAGATTAAAACCGCATGGGCCGGATGGATCACCGAGGCAGCGTGATAATGGCTCAGTGCCTTGTCATAGTTACCCAGCTTCTCGTAGACCCTTCCGATGCCGTAGTATGCATTGTAGTGGCGCTTGTCTGCCGCTATGGCGTGTCGGTAGGCCGTGAGGGCTTTGTCGTATTCCTCGTTCTCCACATGCTCGTGTCCTTGTAGGGTATAGGCGTACGCAAACTTGGGATCCAGTTGCGTCGCTCGCTTGAAACACCTCAGGGCTTGCTCATGATCATATGCCAACGACCATGCATTTCCGAGGGCACACCAGGCTTCTGGTGAATCCCATACTGAGTCGATCATCTCATGGGCAAGGAATGAGAGCTCCGTCTCTTTCTTTAAATGCCACAGAACAGTCGAGTAGACCTCCATGTCCTCAAGGCGAGTCGGAGCAATAACGCGAAGTCGCTTGAAGTATTTCTCTGCCTCGGCATAGTTGGCCTGTTCATACTGCGTCCTTCCCATCTGCGCCAAAACCCAGGGTGTGTCCTGGTGACTCCTCGGAAGTGACATGTACGCCGCCACTGCCTCCTGGCATTGGAACTGGGATGAAAGCGCATAACCGGATGCCAACTTCTTCAACAAATCAAATATCGTTTTCAAAGCTTCTTCAACCGCCTTGACAGACTCAGACTCTGCTGGTTTAGGGGCGGGGGGTGGAGGTGGTGCCGCTTGCAGCACCGGCGGTTCCTTGGCGCGTGGTACTGCCTCGGCGTGATCAATGTCCATACCAATATCCTCCTGTGGCGGCTTCCGGTTGCCACTGATAACTCGACCAACGTTTGCTCCACTAGAGCCCGGCCGAGCAAATCGAGATATTGGGGGCCTAGCCTTCCTCAGCTCACGGGTTGCTCCCGCGCTCGATGTCTTCGTTGCCGTTGGTCTTGGAACTACATTGAGTCTTGCACTTCGCCTAGGTTCATCATTGTTCATCGATCTTGTTTGGACTGGATGCCCTGCTGCCGTGCGTTTTCTTTCAGTCATTGAGCTGGAAACCGTTGATGTTTTGGTACCTGATTCCGCATGGTCTTTGGCTGATTCTTGAGCTTTATCTTTCCTTCTTGTTCCCAGACGGTGTCCCGTTTTGGATGGTGCATCAGTTACAGTAGAGTCTGTTACCTGAGCAGCCCGAGTTCTCCGAGGTGGCGCTTGCGGCGGCTCTGCCTGGTGTGCAGCACGACTAACCTGAGAATTATGGGCGGTTGGAGCAGGCGCAGATTGCGTATCGGTTTCCTCAAGCGGTTTCCCTGGCTGACTTGATGTAATGCCTGACTGAGAAAGATACATCTTGGATATAAAGCCATTTTCCGAATCTGGATACGACGCCGATTCCTGGGATGTCCCATATGGCCCGAATGGATCGCTTGGCTGTCTGTTTTGTTGCTGGCCAGTCTTCTTTTGCTGCAAGGGCTCTGGTGGTTGCGGAGAAGGACCTGCAATCCAAGCAAGAATCGGCGTAGCGTTGAGGCCATACTCGAGGGTTTGCGCAAGACCATCGCTCGCCCTGAAAACGTTCGGCACTCTGACGCTCACTCCCATGTCGTAAAGGTTTGTGAAAGCTTCCCACATGAACGGATTCCGTCGTAGGGCCTCCTCAAAACATGGTATGGCCTTTTTCTTATCGTCATATGCTCGGTAAAGTCTGCCCAGGAGACAGCTAAAGGCAGCTGCATCGGGATATGGCATCCTGGTAAAAGAGGTATGTTTCCCCAAGTTGTCCGCCTTGGACCATTGTTTCCTCCCATTCTCCAAGCCCGTTATTCCGTCTTTGTATCGCTCCAACTCCAAGCACGCCTGCGCGAAAACGTAGCAGGACCCTAAATGCGAACCTCTATACCCCGAGCCCCGACTGACGTGGTAGGCGGTTCGAGCGTCGCCGAGTCGCAAATGGGTGTAGGCGAGGAGATAGGCGGAATCGCAAAAGGATTGGTCATGGGCATAGAGTCGCTCGGCAAAGAAGAGTGCGCTCTCGTAGGCACAATTGTCGAGATGGTAGTAGATGGCCTGCCTTAGCAAAAGGGAGACGGTAACATTATTTGGCGTCATCTTCCCCGCCATGGCCGAACCACCAAACCCGCGGTCGAAGTGGTGTATGAAATATGCTACCGGCAAAACGGATCCATGGGATTACCGAATAACAGATGGTGAGCTGAGGGTGAAGCGCCTCGTTCAGAAAACCGAATGTCGGAGGGTGGGCGGGAGTAGCAAATTCGCAAGGCTCACTTCGAGGCGAAAGGGTTATCGAGGAGCGAGGGCTAAATCGTTGTTCGTAATCGTGAAACTCGTAAATGGACGGAGCAATCTTCGTTGTCGGAATTAGTCTGCGCCTGCACGGTCAAAGCAAAAGCCGGGTGCAAGGGGGGGGAGATGGGCTGCGCTCAATGAAGGGCGCGCGCGAACAATGGACGATGCAGCTGCTGTATTAAAAGAGTATCGACAAAAAAAAAGAATCCGGGTTTGCTGAAAGCGTCGCAAAGGGTAGAATTGGGACTTGAATGGTGGAGTGATGGGATGCTGAAGGTACCGCTTTCAGGAAGCAAGATGGTCTGTGACGTCGGGGAACAAACAAAAAAAAAAGAGTTGAAGATGTATGATGCACCCGGCAAGCAGGTCACCGACAGGGAAGGGTCCAAGGGTCAGCTTCTCCAACAACGACAACAGCAACCTGGATATGTCTAGCACGACATGACTTTCCACTCTCCCAAACACTTCAGTTTGTGTTGCGACTGGACCGAGCACCTCGTGAAGGAGGGACTGAGATGGCGGCGGCAGCAAGGGCTGTTTTGGTCGCGCGGCAGCGTAGAATTCGCGATACAGATGGTAAAGTCGGAAAGGGCCAGGTTACGGCAACCGGACTCTTCCCTTGATTTGCTTGTTGCGGCTGCAGCGCTGGCTGGCTGTCAGTCTCGTTCGCGACTCCAGGGTGAGACTTTGGTTGGGTTGGGTTGAATGTTGTGGTTAGGTGCGGTAGCTGCGCGACGCTGCCTTCCGAACCAAGCAGTGGTGGGGAGAGCTTGCCGGGCAACACAGTGACAACTACGACAACTGACCCGACCCCCGGTCTCATCTTCACACCTCAGTTCTGCAACTGCAAACTGCCCGACAGCTGCCGAGACCGGCTCATCCCCATTATAAAAGTGCAGTGTACAACTGAAGTATGTAGCCCAGGTCGAGGTAGTCAAAGCCACATGGCGCCCTGGTGCCTGCAGTGCCGTCAATCGATCTGATTTCAAGTTAGCGCAAGCAATGCCGGGTCACCATCCCCAGCCACAGTTGATCTCCAGGTGGCTGGCGAGGATCCATTTTAAGACATCAACACCATGGACCTCTTTAAGCTGCCGTTAGGTTTCCCCTCATTTCATCCCTGCATCTCGCTCATCCTCTGCAATTGCTAGGTAAGTTCTGGGTCTGATCTTCCTCATGCAACAGCTACGTACTACGACAAAGATATTTTCACTGTAGGGTTATCGGCGACGATCCTGAGTGACTTGTGGAATTACATACTTGCTCCTGCCCTCTACTGACTGTAGTGAGTAGTGTAGATTGACTTTATGTTGGGCAATCACGCAATGTGCAGGAACTATAGGGGCAGGTGCGCTCTTTTGGCCTATTAGTCGGTCCTTCCGGGAATAAGTGAGTGAGGGTTGGGAAGTTACTGTCGCTTGCGGATAGACCGCTTCGGTGTTGACTTCAATCTTTCTCATATCAAGAATCTCCGCCGCACTCTGACGGCTACACTGTGTCTCAATCCACGCATCGTTCAAGTTCATATGCACCAAGGATGCCTCCCAACGAAGTCTTGGACTATCCTCTTTTCTTATATTCATGCTCCTCTTCACCCTTTTTCTTGGTACCCACGCTCCCGACCATCACCTGGCCGACCTCATGATGGATCCCAGACACCAACAGTGATTTTGCCGCCGTGCCCGCGCAACATACTCCTAATCATCTGTCATCTCGGTGTTGTACATTTACCTCTCGCTCAATTGTATCATCCCCGACTTTCAACGACCATTTGGGCTCGCCCCCAAATTTCATCGCCAATTGCAAATTGTCCATCCGGCGGTGGGCGTTGCCCATTGAATCCCGAAATTGTGGCAACTCATCTGAGTTCTGTCTAGCGAACAGACATCGATCCATCTTTTGGTGGTGTACCGGTGTTACCATAGGCATTACACGCCCTGCACCGTTACACGGGCATTGTAACAGGAGTCAAGATTTTCGTAAAGGTATTGAACCTTTCACTCACCATTGCTTCCCTTGCTACACTGTGAGAGGTGAAAATTGAAGCATGTAGAACTACCTAGTCTCGCTGCTTTAGTTGAGAGCGGGGGAAATGGTCAAGAAAGTACTTTAACGATGGTGCAACACCTCACTGGCTTCAACGTGGAGTTAGGAGTGGAGTAAGTCGTGATGGGAATTGCTCTCGAGACTTCAACATTGCTTAGTCAGCAATACACTGTCGCCATGATGCCAAGATGCAGCTTCCGTTCAAAGCTGGCTTCTTCTCTCAACCCTGAACAGCCAAGCAGGGGACTCCATCAATCCTCACGACACTCAACATTGAAGACAGCGAGTGCATCCAGTCTGCCGGCATATCTCAAAACCACGTCGATTTCCATCAAAAATAAGCACCCATAAAACCTGACCAATGGCTCAAAAAGCGCGCAAGGACCGGGCCAAGTCCAACGAGTCGACCCTCAAGAACCTCCACATTGGCTCCCTCATCGTCAACGGCATCTTCCTGCTCTCTCACTTCCTCTTCCGGTCGCGCTCCCTTCTGTTTTGGTTCATCCTCTCCATCCCGAGCTTCCTCTGCCAGTACACGCTCGAGAAAACGGGCCGGCCCAGCTATGACCCCTCTACCAAGGCGCTTAAGGCTTCCGGCGAGGACCTCGCCGCCCCTGGCCTGACCGAGTACATGTTCGACGTAGTCTGGGTCACCTGGGCGGCTGCCATTCTCGTCACCCTTTTCGGCAACTGGGCCTGGATATTCTGGACCGTTGTCCCTGCTTATGGTATCTACAAGGGCTTTGGCCTGATGGGCGCCGCCAAGTCGATGGCTGGGTTGGGCGGCATGGGCGCCGCTGGCGGTGATGCTGCTGGTGCTGGTGCTGTTCCTGCTGGCAACAGGAAGCAGAGGCGTGCTGCTGCTTAAAGTGGGAAAAACCTTCAAGTGGTATTGCATGTGGTCTAGCCGCTTTGCGCTGTCTATTAACCTTCTATTCTACTTTCTCTCAACTACACACATCACCGCCATTGCCAACTACCACCTCGGTCACCTACGCCTTATGCCACTCCTGCTCCTTGGTCCACTCCTCGATTAGCACCGGATCAACATCCTTTACCAACACATGAACATGTTCCAGCGCTCTCACGCTTTGCAACGCCACCCAGTTCTTGAAATACAGCACTTTTTCCTCACCACCTGGACCCAGCCGATCTACAAAGTACTGCTTCACGAAATCACCGACGATCTTGCGGCTCTCAGGCGTCATATCGCCCTTGTTATCATCCACCGCGATGGGCGTGCGCGTCCACACCACCATGTGGATGATGCCCGGTTCGAAGCCGTACGGCCAGTCATTCAGCAGGACGCAGTAGTCGGAGGGTTCGGCGAAGGGGACGTCAGAGACGGGCGTGAAGGGGGGTGCGCCCCATGTCTTGGGCAGGCGGTGGGCGAGGAGGTAGTTGGTCATGCTGCCGTACGAAGCCTTGGTCTCGGCTGTCCATTTCATATAGCGCCGGAGATCGGACGGCTTGCGTTTGAGGACGGAGAGGTCGTTGTTTTCTGTTATTTTCGGGAAGTGGTTAAGATTCAAGAGTCAGAGACATGGGCAAGAAAAGCAAAACGGGCGGGCAGGTTGGCTTGTAATATCGATAACGCGTGGATGTGTACATATGATGATTGTAATGAGACGACGACGACGATGATGACCAAAAAAGGAAAGAGAAATCCCTACGGATAAGAACGCGCAGTTCACTCCATGAGTGATACTTGAATTCCTCATCTGTCTGTGACAGCACCCACTTGTCGACAGCCGTAAGAGGGAAAGGGTTCTCCTCTTCCTTTACCGAGACTGGGGCCGGGTTCGGGTTCGGATCATTTGCCGGCGGCTCGGATGGCAGTAGAGCGTTGTCACCCATGATCTGAGCCTTTCCTTCCCGGGTTTCGCAACCGAGAGTAGGAATATCGAAAGGCGATTTGGAGTATTTCGGTTGGCTTGTGATTTTGTTAAGAGATCCTGTTGTGAGTTGAGCCGTTCACAAGAGAACTTGCAAGTCACGAAAGCCCGGGGCCCAAAAAATATAAAAAATCACCTCGATCGGACACTCGGTGAGCGGGAGCGGGATTCGGGATTTCTGGGCGGTGATAGGTATTGTAGGTTGTCTTCTTACTTGTGACACGGGCAAGAGGTTGTAGCGAATGTACGATTTGGTCTTTGTTGTACAAACGTAATGAGAGAGTGTGAAAAGCCGAAGCGACGATGAACAACAAGAGCAGTTATAGGCGCATTGCGTCGAAGATGCCCCTTGGGAACAGAGGTAACAGCATTACGAAGAGAGATAACGGCCATTTTGGGCTTCATAATTCGCTGATCTCGGGCCTAAGACGCTGATTCCTGTGGCCCAGTGAGGTGGTGTCGTGGAAGTGGGACTGCCGTTCCGTGATTCGGAGGCGGGGGGGTTTCCTCGGCTTCGGGACGGGACCTGAAATGTCAACAAAACGTCCCCGGCATTGGGTGACGGACACCGCCTTCCTTCAGCGGGATGGTGTTTCCTAGTCAATTGAGCGCCGGTTGGCAGTGGTTTAATGGTGTTGTTACAGCGGTGCACAGGGCAGGTACACACCTGTTGTACACTAGCACCCGCGCTACTATATCACAGCCCGTCAGGTCCCGTCCCGTTGACGATACGCACAGGCACCTAGAAACCGGTCTGGCCCGCAGCAGAATCGACCCACCCCTCAACACTCAACAACGGGACCTGGTCCGGGTGCCGTAGGCTCAAAACACACCCCCTGTTTGACCCGGCCGAGTGGATTGGATCGTTGGATCCCCGCCTCCAGACTAATCGCGTTTTTGCCGTTGCTCGAGTCAAGGAAGAAGTGGCCTTTCACGGGTACTTTTGGGGAGTGGTTGGACGAGAGCAGAAAGTGGAATCCCTTTTTTTCTTATCAAGAGGAGCTCTTCGTCTTGCCTTACCCACCTCGCCGTCCTCCTCCTCCTCCTCCTTCTTTCCCTTCTTCTTCTTTTCTTCTTCCCTCTTCTTCTTCTTCTTCTTCTTCATCCTTCTTTTCAGGTAACCGACTAGAAGGGACAAAGACAGGCACCATGTCTGAGGAATCGCTGCTCGAGCGCAAGTACTTTGACGGGATCTACATCCCCGCTGGCCTTTTGGTCTTCGGCACCGTCATCGTCAAGAAGGAATGGACTCTCTACGCCGCCCTTGCGGCCCTCGTCTTGGGTGCCATCAAGTACTTTAGGATGCGTACGTTTTCCCCATTATTTATTTCGAGGTGCTGAAAATTCACGCGCTAACCACCTCTCGCTGCAGTCCCCAAGAAGGTCCTCAAGCCCGCTGTCTTCCAGGAGTTCGAGCTCAAGGAGAAGACCATCATCTCCCACAATGTCGCCATGTACGTATTTCTCTTACCCCCTATCACCTATAGAAGCCGAAAACAAAGACTAACGGTTCCCCCCTTTGCAACAGCTACCGCTTCAAGCTCCCCACTCCCGACTCCGTCCTCGGCCTGCCCATCGGCCAACACATCTCCATCGGCGCCGCCATCGAGCAACCCGACGGCTCCACCAAGGAGATTGTGCGTTCCTACACCCCGATCTCGGGCGACCACCAACCCGGCTACTTCGACCTGCTCATCAAGTCCTACCCGACCGGCAACATCTCCAAGCACATGGCCTCGCTGCAAGTCGGCCAGACCATCCGCGTCAAGGGTCCCAAGGGCGCCTTTGTGTACACCCCCAACATGGTCCGTCACTTTGGCATGGTCGCCGGCGGTACCGGCATCACGCCCATGCTGCAGGTCATCCGCGCCATTGTCCGGGGCCGCGCCGCGGGCGACCGCACCGAGGTCGATCTCATTTTCGCCAACGTTACCGCGCAGGACATTCTCCTGAAGGAAGACCTGGACGCGCTGGTGGCTCAGGACAAGGGTATCAGGGTTCATTACGTCCTCGATCGCCCGCCTGAGGGCTGGACCGGTGGTGTCGGCTTTGTCACGCAAGAGATGGTGGAGAAGCTGCTGCCTAAGCCGGCGAGTGATGTCAAGATTCTGCTGTGCGGCCCTCCCCCGATGATTAGTGGGTTGAAGAAGGCGACGGAGGCGTTGGGCTTCCAGAAGGCTAGGCCGGTTAGCAAGTTGGAGGATCAGGTGTTTGCTTTCTAAGCGAGTCTTGAAGCAAGTCATGCATCGAATGGTTTGGCGTATCTGTCTGATCCCACTTAGAGGAGGACTCTAGGAGGAACATGATGGTGGGGAGTGTCAGTAATGAGATGGGTTGGAAAAGGAAAAGGTTCGGCTACTACGCGTCATGAGAGGCCTGCCCCCTGAGAGCGCTGCCGCCGATACCGGAAGGATCTAAAAAAGGCATTCGCGAAGCCGTTCTGTTCTATGCACATGACAGGTCGCGGGGCCAGCTATTTATCCCTCTATATATACCTATAATATGCTTGAATTTAGGTACCATCCTATCCATACGTGTATTGCACAAGAATGGCGAGAGTCAAGGTGGTCTTAAGTTTGTTGTCGACCTGCCCCGGCAAAGTGTATGGCATCAAGAGTCGATTAAATGCACAAACAATCGCCGTTCTGTCAATGGCAGAAACCTCAGTCGATGGCTATTAATTACCAAGCTTTCATTGGATTTTCAGCCTTAGCTATCTACCAGCTCACAATCATTCTCATGAAAATACATCTTTAAATAAAGTCTGAGATGTATTAGGGTACCGAGCTGCCAACTCTTCCAAACCCGTTTCTAACCGAGTGAGCAGCGATTTGTTTACTTTACAACCTTTTCCCCCTGAATGAGTCCACAGCTCCCCCCCTTGAGCCTCAACGCCAAGAAACGCCTCCACAAGGACAATCTACACCACGTCGTGTGCTATTACCGTGAAAGGGGTGCGCAAAATCAGAGCACATTATCCCAACTTCCCGTACCCGTGGCAGGTGATTCTTCCCCCGTCGTGGTGCGAGTGCCAGAATTCCCTACGTCGTCGGTAAGCAGCATCCACGCATCACCATCATCATCTCCTCCATGCCCCCCAGCTGTAGCAGTCTCATTATTGTAATCGCCATTGGCATTACCACTAATGCCATCAAGATTTCCAAGTAGAGGGCATTTGCCAGTACAGGTATTGATGTTGTTCCCAAGGTCGTCGTAGTTGCAGTTGTTGCTGTTGCTGTTGCTGTTGCCGTTGCTGTTACTCAAAAATAAGGGATCGACCACTACGTCTGTCAAGCCTAAATCGATCTGACCTATCCCTCGCATCCCTCTCACTCCTCCCGTCTCGGTGATGTTGGAGAAAAGGTCCATGTTGGTCATGTCCTCTAGCGGGGTATGTTGGTTAGGGTCGAAAACAGGGATGCATGAAGGTTCGGTACCGGTACTGTTATCCGCAAACATCGCAGTGGATGAATCATTTACACTTCTGTGAGGAAGCTGGATTACCGGCGGGGAAGTGTCGCTGTTGGATTTCATTAAACAGGGAGGTCCCACAGCAGTCGCGGGTCTCGGGCCCCAGCCGTCGTTGAACTCGTCACTGCTTTCGGTGGTGAAATCTGGTGGTACTGCTGCTGTAGGCTGACGATGTCGATACTGAGAGGGAAGCGCGGAGCTACCGAACTTGAACAAGTCGGAAAGGTCGATGCGTTCGAGAAAGGGCTGCTGTTCGTGATGGATTCGTCTCCGTTTGGCTTCCGGTGCGAGACCAGGACCGCTACTTCCGCCGCTGGTTCCTGTAGTGTCACCATTTTGGCCTTGCCTATCCGGACACTGAGTACCACCACTACAGGCACCAAGCTCACACTCCGGTGGTGGTACGACTCCCGCCGCAGCTCCCCCGTTTTCGTTCAGACTGCCACCACAGGCTTGCGCCGCCGTCACTGCTATCCCACATCCACCACCACCACCACTCCAACTTGCTTCTTCGGGTATGATCCTACCTCCACCCCCCATAGACATCATTCTCGGGACCACCGGCCTCTCACCGTTTTTCGTATACTTCGACGCAGCCGTTCGCCCCAGCAGGGGAATCCCGTGGTTGCAACATCCATACCGCTTGATGTTGGGTAGATTGAAGAACGCACTGACATCGTTTTGCTCAATATCGAGGAGGAGCTGGTTGAGGTAGGCACGTGTGATGATGTGTTGCCGACCGATGGACTCCATGCAATTGACGATGAATTCGAGCTCGGGAGCCACCCAGGGCGGGAGCGGAACTGGCGAGGGGGATGTGAAGGTTTCTCTTGCGAGATCGATGTAGACTGTGGAGGCGCAGTACATGGAGAGGGCTATCAGGGGGGTTTTCTGTAACAGAGTGAAGTGTCATTGTGAGTAAATGGACTGCCAGTGGTGGCATGGAAGAAGTACATCGAAGAACACTACTTACGTAAGGGCTCATGGTCTCTCTAGCCAACCTCATAATATTCACGATTTCTCTCGCAGCATTCAGTCTCCTCACTCTACTCCTCTCACCTAGCCGCTTGTCGAGCCCATACTTCTTTACCGCGTCGTAAGCAGCGCTATGTAGGCAGAGTACGGACGCGTGTATACTCAAATTAACCTGCAGCGCCACCGTTTCCGTGATGTTGGTGGGCAGTCGAAACTTGTCGGGTAAGAACATGAAGGCATCATCTAAATTGTTGTCGATCTCGCGATGGCGTTTCCAGTAAGGACCGTCTTGAAGGTCGTCGGGCCGGTCCGATACCTTTGATCGGTGGACATGGTTGAGCAGTTCGTTAAACAGATAACCTATGACGGCCATGCTAGCGAAGGAGGAATACGAGGAACCACCAAAAGCTTCTTGGAGCGTGGGCGAGGCTTCGTAAGAGCCTGTATTAAAGGCGTCTTCGGAGGCAGGAAGACGGGTTGTGGTCTGCTGAGGCATTAGTCTTGAAACCCCGATCGATCCCGTCAAATGGATATTCTTACGTCTTTTACATCAATCATGATGGGCCACCTAGTGTTCATGGTGATATGTACGTTAGCGCAGTAGGCACCCCAGAATGTTCTTCGACGTTCTTCTAGTTCAATCCAGCTCTTGGGAGGAGGCAAAACGTGCCCATCAGAGTCTTCCGCATCCCCTGAGGGGTCATCGAGTCGTTGAAGACCCAACATGTGCACAAGTCTGGCACATCTTGCGGCAGTCATTGCGGCCCTGGTAAACAGCATACTGCGGGCCTCATTGATGGCGGTTAAAACCAAAGCTTGGGCATGATGAAGCGTTATGAAATGCTCGCCAAGTCCCTGACGATTCATACTCAGTTTGGGAAACATCCGGCTAGAACCCCAGAGATTTGACTGACCTTCAGCTCATCAGCCTCCAAGTACTGACGAGCACGATGATAGAAGACGTCATAATAACGGTCGTACATGGGATGTCCCTTTGCCGCATATGCCCAGATTGCGTATTGTAAACACATGGGCGGACGCATATGAGTGGGTGAGTAGAATGATCGCATGTAGTTTCCCGGGTGAACAATGGGCACGATCTTTGGCTTCCGGAAATGGAAGAACAATCGATGTCTTCACGTCCCGTTCCTTTAGCATAATCTTTCGGATGGGATGATTTAGGGAGAAACTCACAGATCCTCAATCATCTCAATAGGTGGTAGCCCCTCGAACCTTCCCAGCTCAATGAGATCGTCACTAAAGCCTCCGATCCCAGTCCCTCCTACTCGTGGCGCTTCAAAAGGTTGAGGTGAGTGTGGTCGCTTTGACGAGGTTGCTCTGTCAGGTGCCGGGGCAGCCTCCATATGGCTAACGGTTTTAGACGCTGATCCATGAGATGCAAAGCCAAACGAGTAGCTGGCTCGCTCAGAGCCCGACACTATTTCCTCTGATAGTTCATCCAAGCTTGTGGTAGCACTCATCTTGTCGAGGGCAGCAGTAGCGCTCGCATCATCACTTGCACCCTGGTTATCAGGGCCCAAGGACTGCTTGGTGACATTTCGAATGAGGCCTTCCACTTGAGCTATCGTTGACAATGTTAGCTGATTTAGCCTGTGTGTCGGACAAACAGAAATGACTTGCCCAATCTCTCTTCGAGTTCCTTCACATTTCGCCGCTTGAAGTTCGGTTTCCTCCTTGATTCAGGATACACACACTTTCCCCCTGCCGTCCCACATCGTGTACATATTGGCTTTATGCGATCACCTACATCAAAGAGTCGAAGAAAGTTAGACGTTCAAAGTAGTCAGTGTGAGGGGGTTTTATAGGCGAGATGCGTCTAAGCTGCCGAACCGCATACTCACATTTCAGCTTTCGGCTCCGACATGTCATACATGCCAATGGTTCCAGATCTTGGTCTGATGAACCAGCAACTGGAGAGGTTTGTGCCGATTGTTGGACCTCTGATCCAACTCCCAACGTTCCTTCGGCTGTCGTCGTGGTATCCGTATTGCCGTTGGCCATCTGATATTCGATAACCCCGTTATCCGTCCACTGCCCAAATCAGTTAAGCGTGCTTAGCTAATTCTCAGGGGTCTGAAAGACAGTATATCTATCGTAAACTCGCGGGTTTGATGCAAACAAGACGCCGAGAACAAACACCAGGCAACCGGGGAAGATGAATGATCCCGAAGGCCGATTCAGATTGTTGCGGTACGTTATAACCTAAAACTCCTGACCAGGATGAAGAGGGTTTGGTAATGACAACAGCCTTCTGTGTGGCTTCATCGCTACTGCTGACTTGACCCAGTTGGAGCCTGTGGAGGAATGACAGGGATTTCGGACTTCTTACGGGCAGCACTTGCCCCGATGACCGAAAGCGACCTAACAGCTTGGGGTAAGATCTGTTAATGCACTAACATTGACTTCTTCACACAATACAGAACAGATGGGTTTCTGATGAGCAAGTAACAGAAAAGCAATCCCAACAGCGACCATAACAAGATTCAGAGTTCGACAGAACTACAAAGATATTTTGGAACTTTTTTTCGTTTCATATTGAATGTACTTAACCTCAGAAAGGCTAGATTGAGCATTGCACCATCCACTAAATTCGAACTCGCCGATTTTACACGATAAGATCGTGAGCAAATGAAGTCATCTACTTTCCTTGTCAGCTGCTCATCCAAGCCTCATTAGGACATCTGTATCTTCTCAGACGAGAGATGAATAGTGAAAGAAAAGGAACATAGGGAAAGGGTTTGCAGATGCTGATGAAAGAAAATGGGAAGGAAAAAATGAGGATAAAAGGAATCGAAGGGGCAGTAGGACAATGACCAAGTGGGTTGAGGGTGTGATACCCATTCGCCAATTCTGGTTGCCTCAGTAGAGTTGATTGATCCATGAAGGACTGCAGCAGGTATGTTCAAACACGACAGAATCCAGCCAATGGCTAACTTCTCCTTCGACTTTTGGCGAGCGATATGCGGCTTCGAAACGGACTTTTTTCTTGAATCCGAATTTGGTTTCGAGGAGGTTATTCAACCAGGCGATATCATCGGTCTGGTTTTCTTGAGTCTCCATGTTGTTGAATCCATTGTTGATGTCGAATTTGGTCTTGACAAGGTACTGCATGTAAATCTTGAAGGTATAGCGGTCATGTTGGCAGGGAGCCGCGTAAGCAGGGTTGCGTGAAGGATCCCAGAAGTCGCACATCTCCTTTGACTTCGCGTTGAGTGAAACCGAGGCGAGAAGCCGATCCAGGAGTGCAGATCCGATCTTCTTGCGTCTCCAAGAGGTATGAACATACACATGGGCCTCAGCAGTGGCCCTGCTGGTGCCTGTTTTACTGCCAGCCAAACCGGGCTTCCAAACTGAGAGGTATGCAAACCCAAGAACCAAGCCTTCTTGGAGATTCGAAGGGAGGACCTTCTGCTGTGGTTGATTTGACTCGAATCTAATGCCATCTTTCAACGTGTCCACCCTAGCCGAGCCGCTGACGGCAACGATGAAGGGAAATTCGTGCCCATGGGTGTCCGTAAGGATTTTCTCAAAGTCCGCCGGTCCCAAAGGTGCAGAATCGAATTTCTGGACAACTTCGCTGTTGTAGAGGGATGCCACTGCCTCCATATCGGAAGCTGTAGCAGGGCGCAAATGCATTGGTATCTGGGGCACAAATAAGTCCGCAATGTTGACGTTGATTTGAACATTCGGTGGCTGGCGGCTCGACGGTGGAACCTCTCCTCGATAGTATTTCCCACCTCTCTTGGGCGCGAGCTTGCGCTTGCGCAGCAACTCCGATGACCAGTTCTTCTGACGCCATCGAAGTTCCGGGTCCTCTGCTTCGCTCACTCGAGTCTCAGGGTATGCGACAGGTGCGAGAAAGCATCCTGTCTCTGGATTGATATCACGATTGAAGTGATTGCGCTTAGGATATAAATATGCCTTTGCATCGACAGTCACGTCCCGGATCCATGACTTTACCAGGTTTTTGTTGTAGTCTTCAGTTTGAAGGCCTAGATCGTAATTTTGGCCATCAAAAAAGTGACCGAACCGTATGGTGGGGTTGCCCAATTCGTTATTGAACCGGTACATGGGGACTTCAACGCCGATTTCGTTACGAATATCCTGGGACATCTTCTGATTGACTTCCTTGATTTGTTCAGGACCATCGCTGAAATCAAAGTCAGAGAGCGACAGGGGGCTCCGTTGCGAGCCTGACCAGTCAAGCCGGCGAATAGGTAGTTCATGCTCCATATAATCAGCAGGCACCGGCGGGGGTCGGTGCTCTTGCGGCCCTTTTGATTTCCAACTGGGCTGAGGAACGTGCCATCTCTTCTCTGCTGCCCAGTGTTTCTTTTCTGCTGCCCAGGGTTTCCTCTCCGTTGCCCATGGCTTCTTCTGTGCTTGCCAGGGTTTCGTCTCAGCTGCCCAGGGGTTTGCAGGCGCGTTAGCCTGATGAACGACGGCTTGGTCGCCCTTCAGAGTGTGTGGACAGGCACCCGAGTTCTGGTTACCAGCGCCAACTGGCTGATCGACTTTCGTGACTTGTGGTCCCCATCCTGTCGGGGAAGTACTTCCCCATGCAGAGTTGTTGGGGTTGCCAGCTTGGGGAGTTGGTTTCAACGCAGCTCTGCTGGGTTCATCTGGGCTCGAGGCAGTATTGGGCTGCGCTTTTGGTTGCTGCTGCTGGCTTGGTCCTGGAGTGGCGGAAATCCTTGCCTTGCTGAAGTCAACAACTTTGCCGTTTGGGTCTTTGATGACAATGCGTCGACCTTGAGGAAGGTGCCCAAGATGAGGAGAAACTTCTGGGACTGGCTTGAACTTTGGATTGAGATTTTGGTGGATAATAGCTAAGGGGCGTTCTTCTGTACTTGGGGCAACTGAGGCAACCCGTTTTCCAGAATCGACTGTTTGCATGGCGGGAACCTCGGGTTTGGTTTGCTTTTCGCCAGTCATTTTCAATCCCCTGAATAAAGGGTAAAACATGGTTAGCATTTGATAAGCAAGCGTAGCACTGCACATACTTACTCTGTTAGGTGTCAGGAGGTCGATGGTCGCCGCCTTGATGTTCTATTCAGGTCGCAGAAGTTGCTTAGTTGCTTTGGCGATCGAACAAACCCAAACCAGAACTGTGAATGGATGATATACACCTTGGTACGGGGTAGAAGTAGCAGGTAGGCGCCTGTTTGAGACAGGATACCGTTGTGAGCTGGCGAGATGCCTTTGATGATGATGAGTAGGTGCCTGTTGTCGGATCGTCGTCGAGTCCAAATCCTCGGTATTTTTGCCGTAGGTCAAACTGCTTCGACAGTTAACCAGCTCGTGTAGGGGCCTTTAACGGGCACTGGTTGGTGGCGTAAACTTGTGGTCGCAAATCCTTGATGCGAGGTCAGTTAAGTTGGAGTGGAAGTGCTAAGAGGCAAGAAGTTCGATAGTTCGCTAGAAGTGGAAGCAAGACGGAGGAAGCGACAAATGCTCGTCGCACTCGGTCGGAATCGAATGATGATCGACGCCAGCGGTTGCGCTCCGTAGAGGTAGCTGAGGCTCCCGTCCGTGGACAGGTTCTCATCAGATGCTGACAGGCGGTAGGATTCGGGAGTGTTTGAGTACAGGAAGGTGAGAAGGGTTGTGAGAGGGACGGTGTTGCGAGAGAGAGAAAGCAGGAGCCAGCGGTTGCAAGATTGCCCTTTTAGGGCGGGGTTGAGCGTTGTACGTGCGGTGGTGAATGGAAGATAAAACCTGAAGATGGGACGGCAGGTGCACCTCAAACAAAGTGGTTAGCAGCTGATTTGAGGCCTGACAGACGGTCCGTACCTTCCTTGTACTTGTGGTGGAGTGAAGTTAGAGGTAGGTTGTTGGAAGGTTGGCGGAAGCTGGAAGGTGCCGTCCTGAAAGATCCAGGTTCAGTGACAATTCGAGAATCCAATCACGCCAATCACAAACCCTTGTTGTGATAATTCATTGTGAGAGAGAAGTGAAAGGGTGCATGCGGCCTCCACGGTAAACCAATCCGTCTCTCATCCAACCTTTGGACTCTCCAAACCAACCCAGCTCCCGTCAATGGAATTGGCCAGAGTTCAGATGACAACTTGTACGTCAATGGGCATATCTGCCAACCTCAGGACAGCTCCAGGTCTCAAAAGGTCAGTCAAGTGTATCGCCCTTGGATCTGTGTCTTTGTTTAGGTCGCATGCATGCTTTAGTCTGTTGATTAGACTGGGAGGCTTGATTCGAGGCCATTAGCAATATCTTCCAATTTTGCCGGTCAGCTGCATTGTATGTACTTCATGGATTTCGATTATTCCAGACGGATTGAATATCTGCTTGTCATGATACATTTGATTCTGGGTTGTAGCCTTAAGTAACGTCCGAGGCCAACATGATGATTTCCAGAGAGGGAGAGGTTCACTCTCAAAGTACGCCCGGTGTTTGATAACTTTGAGATATGATGAAATGAGTTATACGTCGATAGTTGTCTCTTGTTTCCACTTGCGACGTCCGTTGCGCGCGTCGAATCAGAGTGTCTTTAGGATGGCTGAAGAGTTGACGTTGAAGGGTATCACGTGGGATCAGAAATCAAGTACCCACGTACATACAATGCACGAATCTGATTGGGTCAAACATGTGGTGGGAAAGGTGGGGGCGGGAATGCATGCAACAGCAGGGCAGCCGTAACGATGTTCATGTCCATCACTTGGAATGTTCAACGGCGAGGCAGCTAGTACAACCAGATTCGTAGAATTGGCAATAGCTTAGAAAGTTGGTTTCTGTCAGCAGATCCGATCTTTAGACATCGCTATACACGGATAGGCCGTGTAGAAAATTCACCGACTGCTTGGTTTTCGCATTTCGTTACCCCCGCCAACAAGATGCTGTCAATCCTGAGAAAAGCGAAGCTCAAGGACAAAGAGCTTCGCATCCTCATGCTGTAAGCAATCACATGCCTGCTTCCAGTCCGATTGCACTATGCGCAATTTGCTGACAGGTACCAACGCAGAGGTCTTGACAATGCAGGCAAGACGACGATTGTCAAGAAAATCATGAACGAAGATGTGAACACGGTCAGCCCAACACTCGGGTTCATCATCAAAACCATAGACTATGAGGGTTACAAGCTAAACATTTGTAAGTAGTAAATTTCTGTTACATTGGCATAGGTTTGGAAAAACTCATTGTGACCTATTCTAATCACAACAATACGTATAGGGGATGTTGGTGGCCAAAAAACGCTGCGGTCGTACTGGAGGAATTACTTTGAAAAGACAGATGCGTTGATCTGGGTCGTTGATGCCACGGACAGGCTGCGCATTCAGGACTGCAAAGATGAACTCCACAGCCTGCTCCAGGAAGAGGTGAGTAATCCCCGCTCAAATATGATTTGTACTCCAGTTTGCCAATTTTGTCCATGTTATTGACCCAAATCTACACATCCAGCGACTGTCGGGATCAAGCTTGCTTGTGTTTGCCAACAAGACCGATGTAAGGGGGTGCATGTCTGAGGACGAGCTGCGGGAAGTGAGTACCTATACTTGATGATCTTTCCTTTGAAATGCGAAAGTAGTAATGCTGATGTGTTTCTCCCCAGGCTTTGCGACTCGATGAAATCAGGACGCATAAGTGGAATATTCTGCGGTGTAGTGCCATGACAGGCGAAAATCTCAAGGAGGGCTTGGCGTGGGTGGTTGAAGATGCAAAGGCTCGTCTTTTCCTGTACTAGGACAAAGAGCTGTTATGGTTAGTGGTTGGGATTGGTGGTCGGCAAGGCACGGGCCGTATCCGAGATGAGATGTGAGACGATGTTTGGTTTGTCTTTTTGCCGTGAGGATACGAGGCGATACATGAACAAGACGGTTGGGAGATCTGTCGAGCAGCGGTCAGCCTTCAGGGGAAGCGAGCCTCCCTTTTGCTCCCCTTGAGGTTCCGCGTCTTCCAGAAGGACGGGCCAAAGGTGGAGTACACAAGCAAGGAGCGGTGATGGGTAGAGATAAAACCGGACAAGTTGGTACCTGTCGATGAAGAAACCATAATGGACATTTTGATGTTGGATTTCCGACGCATGATCCGACCTTCTCAGTTAGGTTGAAACGGAGTTAGAGTCCGCAACGACTGATGGAAGCCTCGAAAATAAGATCTCTTCCAAGAACGTGATTGATGCGTGGAGGGCAGTTGGGCCGATACCGCCTTGCTTATAGTTTAGATGAGACATGGGTCAACAAGGACGAGGGCATTCTGGGCTGACTTTCTTGGACTCGAAAATCAAGGTTCCATCTTGGGCTGAGCTTCCACTTTCATGGTGGCAGCCCGGCACGCGCAGCCCTGTCGCCGGCTGTTGCGTTGCTCCGTCCAGTCGCTCTCTGTACCTGACGGTGCTCTGTTGTTGCAGCAGCTTGCTTCCCGTCAGATGGCGCTCTCGGGGCATCGATTGGGCACCAGCTGCACAAATGGCATCGGATCCACCCTGTGGATTCATTGGAGGCTCGTGGAAGGCGTGCCCCGCTCCCGCCCGCTGTGCATCCCGACACTTTCGTGCCTTGCGTGCCCGGGCATCCTTGGAGACGGAACAGTTCCCAAGAAGCAGCACATTGTACCGTAGCCGCCCAGGATTTCAGCTCCGCCTCCAGGGTAGACGGTCAACCCGGCTGATTGATTCTTTCGTCCATTGTACGGGCATGTGTATTTCATGTTGACATCAAGCAATCTGAACTGACGGCCGTCATTTCTGACAGCGTGCCCGGGACATCCATCCCTCCATCCCTTTTTCCCTCCACACCTTTCTCTCGGCCCCTCCTCCCCCCCTTTCGTATCCTTCCGCTTCCCTTCGGCTCCCTTCCGACGGCACCCCCTTTCGTTCCTTCGTTCGTCCGTACCACTCGGCTCCCGCCCACAATAGACAGCGACAGATAGCGACAGACAGCAAGCGACAGCACAAGCACGCCACTGTCAGGCATCGTCGCCCAGTCGTCTCAGTTCGGTTCCGCTCCTTCTCCATCTGCATAATACCTACGCATCGACTTGGATGTGTTGGTGCTGCTGGGAGTGGTCTGTTCTTTAAATAACGTTTATAATCTAATACTTGGACCTTGTACCCCGGAGGTTACCAGACAACATGTCTGACGAGGTTTCCGACTTTTTGCGCTCTGTCGAGCTGTTGAAAGGAAGACGTGAGGAAGAAGACGAAGCACGCTCGCGCGAGCTGGAACAAAAGATATTGGCAGAAAAGGCTGAGCGACAAGCAAGACGACTAGGTGTGTTTTCTATCTACTCTATTATTACACTACTACAACTTCGTTGTTGCTCTTTCTCTCCATGTCCTAAGTAGGCGGGGGATTGCGGATCAGGCCAGGAGCTTCACGAGTTACACATACACGTCCAAGGGGCTGCTGTTGCTGCTCATCAAAGGGGCTGGTCGTTGCCCAATGTTCGGTGCCGTCTTGTTGATGTTGTTGTTGTTGTCGACGATAACAAGATAGTCCAAATACGGGGCCAACGGGTGACCACATACGAACGAAAATGCAAAGAGAATGCGAGGCTTGACTTGACTTGACTGAGGAGGTCTGACTTATTTTTCGTCCCATGTTCACAGAGCGCGCAAGGTCTATCTCCCCTCAGAAATCGTCTCCGGCAAACACCCACCACCACCGCACAAGCATTGCTAGCATTGCCAGCACCATTCAACCTCCCGATGGCGTAGACCTGTCCTCGCCCGCACACGAAACTACTGGAAGCCCCCGAGCACACTCTGTCCAGCTATCCGACCCCATGGAGCCCCTGTCGCTGGCTTCACCCACAAAGGAGAACGAGTCGCCGTCGTCGCCGTCGTCGCCACCGTCGTCGTCGACGCCTTTTGACTCGTCCGAACCAAGCAAGCGATCAAGCCAGATCCTCACCTCTCCTTCGGCTGCCATGCCCTCGGCCCGTCCCCTCTCCTGGCAGAGACGCCCTACATCTCAAGCTTCTGAGCGACCCAAGACTCGACCGTTGTCGGTTTACGCTGCTGAAAATGCGGCTGCCAGTCGGGCAAACGCTGCCATTACCTCTCCCACAGAGGAACAGCCACCACAATCCGAGACAGCACAGGTGGAAGATGAGGATACGGTCGACACTTCCCACTTGTCGCGCACCCAGCTTCCCGATATGGCTCAAGACGCCAGTGCGCACACCCCTGCCGCTACAGAACCAGAGGCGACACCCGCCCGTCAGAGCTTACTCAATTCTCCTCTCATCACCAGTGCACCGCGTTTGGACCCTCCAACTGGAGATTCCACCCACGATGAGCCGGAGCCACCTTCTAATCGCATGTCGATGATGTCTCCCAATAGCCGTGCCTCGCCTGCCACATCAAGAACTGGCTCTCCCACCAAGGGCTTAGGTGGATTTGTGCAGAGTGCCATGATGAAGCGCTCCGATAGTGTTAAGCGGTGGAGCGTTAACTCGGCAGGCCTAGCGCGTGCCGAGTCAACTGCCTCGAATCGCAACAGTATCTTTGGACCTCAACTAGGCAGTCCCACCAAGCCGGACACTCAGCCGGACGCTACGACCCAGGACGATTCTAATCCAAAGCCGGCATCGCGACCAGCTTCAATACCCGTTCCGAGCTACGAGGAAGATAGGCCAGTCACTCCTGCTCCGCTTAGCATCACCCCACAACCGTCTGCGACCGAAACCAAGGAGACCAACACAGAAGGCGGAGAGGAGGAGAATACGTCGATACCCGTCAGCCCCTCCAAGACAATGGACCCCCGGAGATGGAGCCCCTCCAAGTCATCGAGCTGGCTTGAGGCTGCTCTAAACAAGCCCGAGTCGCCAAAGACCAAGCCAGCCCCCAACGCCAACCAGCCGGCCTGGATGGTCGAGTTGAACAAGGCTAAGGCGCAGAAGACCGGTAACACCAGCGTTGATCTCTCACGCAGCGCCTCAGTCCCTCTGAGAAAGACCGAAGTCAAAACGGGTGGACTTATGCGGACTACCCCGGTTGGCTCAGGTCTCAAACCCTCCACTGGCCTGAGCATTTCTACGAGTGCGGCCGCAGCAGAGAAGCCCGCATTGAGCGGCTTGCGTAACGACCTTGTCAGCCCTCTCTTGAGGAAAGGAAGCGAAGATCCGGCGTCTTTGGCAAAGACACCCACCACCGAAGAGGCCAGCACTCCCGTTTTGAAAGATTTCCGGGCAAACCTGAAGTCGCGCGCCCCACCCTCTTCTGGTGCAGGCACCGAGGGTGAGGTGGATGAGCTCAAGAACGTCTTTGGTAAACTTCGGAGGGCCAAGACCGAGAAATGGGTGGCTCCAGACCCCCTCAAGGACAACATTCTACGAGGAAAGTCTTTGCTCAACCATACCGGAGGTCCCATGAGGAGTGAACGGAAAGATGAGCTCAAGGAGGCCATTCTCAAGAAGAAAGAGGAGTTTCAGAAGGCCAAGCAGGAGGGCCAGTCGTCACCCACCAAAGCCGCCAGCCCTGTCGTTAGCGAGAAGGCAATCCCCGAGGCGCTTGCCAGGAGACTGGAACTTGGTCGGTCTGGAAGCTTTTCCTCCAAGTCGGTCGATCTACCAAGCTCTGCTTCTTCGGTCACGTCGCCGAGTGCAGCTTCTCCAGGCAGCATCCTAGACTTTGACCGGACAGGCCTTTTGTCTCCCAAGAGGCGAGAACTTACTGACATTGCAGCTCAGATCGCACCAAAGCCTACCACTGGCCTGGACAAGGAAGCTTCTGCGACCAACGAGGTGCAATCCACAACGCCCAAGGCAGTCAACGTTCCAGGACGCCTGAGCAAGGTGGGCGGCTTAGCCGACAGGTTCAACCCTGCCTTGGCAGGATTGTTGGCCAAAGGCCCTCCGGCAGCCGCTTCAGGGGCTAGTAAGGGATCTGGTGCAGCTGAAGAGGAGACTACGCCCAAGCCTGGACCCCAGTTGACGCACATGACGAAGAATCGTGCCCGTGGACCTAGGAGAAAGGCGCCGACTTCCGTTCTCAAGCCAGCTGAGGATAACGAGGAAAGACTTGAAGTAGAGTCACCGCCTGCTGCGAAGGAGGCTGTTTCTTCTCCTATCGAGGAGAAGCAGGTCACGCCGACCATGCCAAAGCCAGAGTTCATCACTCGTGTTGACTCTAGGGCGTCTGTGAAAAGCCACGGACATCAACGTTCTGGGAGTGTCGCCGACCTCGTCAACTCTTTCAAGACAAAGGTGGCGGAGGAGCCTAAGCCAGCTGAACAGCCCAACACTGCTGATCTTCCCTCCCGTTCACCTACAAAGATTACTCGCGGCCGTTCAGCGACCAAGGTTCTTGAGCAAGCTACCGTGTTCGCCGCCTTGAATCAGCAGCCTTCAGAACCCGTTGAGCCCAAGAGCGAGATGGCTTCTGCGTCACCTGCTCGCCCGGCTCTGAGTCATACTCGTTCCAAGTCAAAGGTCCACGAGCAAGCAGCTCTATTCACGACACTGAACCGGCAACCATCTGAAGCTGCCGAGCCTACCAAGGAACCGGTTGCCCAGTCGCCCGTGCGGCCGGCGCTCAGTCACACCCGCTCCAAGTCCAAGGTACAGGAGCAAGCTGCTGCTTTTGTGAACAAGATGAAGGCAGAGCCGAGCGAGCGTAGTGCGGAGACCTCGCCTGTTCGACCTGCGTTGGGACATACTCGTTCGAAATCCAAGGTCCATGAGCAAATTGCCGCTTTAGCTGCGGCCAGCCAAAAGCCCTCTGAGGCTGCTTCCGAAGCAGCTCCCTCCACGCCTACATCGATCCGGGGACGGTCTCGCGCAAAATCAATTGTTCAAGAGAAACTGGCTGCCCTTGTCACGG